CTGCTTTAACTCCATCTTGAGTTATTACGTGGCCGAGGTACGTTACCTCTTTACGCAAAAAGAGACATTTTGAGGGTTCTAATGTGAGGTTATACTCATCGACACGTTTCAAAAAGGAGGTGAGCTTTTGGTTGTGTTCTTCGATTGTTTTCGCGTAGATAACAACGTCGTCCATGTAGACAAACAATTCCAACCCCTGGAGGCCTAGTAGTACTTGGTCCATAAGACGTTGAAACGTTGCCGGGGCGTTTGTAAGACCAAACGGCATACGGGTATATTGATAGTGACCGTATGGAGTGGAAAACGCTGTTAAATATTTCGAATCTGGGTCCATGGGAATTTGATGAAATCCCATACGCATATCTAAAATCGAAAAATACTTGGCCCCTCCTAATTGATCTATTATAGAAGTTATATTAGGGAGGGGGTAAGCGTCTTTTATGGTCTTTTCATTTAACTTACGATAGTCAATGACCATTCGCCATCTTCGTTGCCCGTCGGGACCAGGTTTTTTAGGTACCATCCATACCGGTGAGTTACAGGGAGAGTCGGAATCTTCGATAAAACCCAAGTCATATAATTCACGACTTTGTTTTAAAATTTCGCTATTCAAAGATTCGGCAGGGCGGTATTGTTTTTGAAAAATGGGAGTGTCATCGGTTGTTCGAATTTCATGTGCTACGACGTCAGTAGCTTTTAGATAATCGCCCTCCAAGAAGAAGCATTTTGAGTATTTCGTAAGAGGTTCAAAAAGGCTCTCCTTCTCCTCCTGACTTAGGGAGGAGAGGTCGATAACCTCGAGAAGTCTATTTAATCGAACTTCAGGAGGTAGTGAATCCACCTGGATAGCATCTACATTGCCGACTTTAATTGTTTCGAATTCCTGCAATTTAACAGGAGGGATAGTGACTTTGACTTCGTGATCGGTGGTATTAATGGCTATCACTTTAACCCTTCCGTTAATGCAGGAAACAATGCCGTCAGGTATTATCACACCCTCCTCAGTTTCGATACGCTCTAAATATCCCTCTTTAAATTTATCGTCTTCAACTTGAAGGGTTATTACCTTTCTGGATCTAGCGGGTAGTGAATATTTTCCCGCATTCGTGTGTCTCAGGGGTGGTAAATCGAGAATAGTTTCCCCATTTTGAAACCTTAAGGTAGCAGAATTTTCGTGTAAAAATTCCATTCCTAAAATTCCGCATGTTGAAACACCAAAATTTTCTGGTACGATATGGAAAATCGCTTTTCTATTGTAAATATATAGAACAACAGAACCTAGTGTTTCGAAAATACCCTGGCCGACTCCTGCTAGGTGAAATATAGCGTCGTCATTTCTTTGCAGAATACGAGCCAAAGCAGATTCTTTAATGAGGTTTAAGGGACAACCGGTGTCTACCAAAAAGGTACCAACATTGTTTTGAAAAATGTCGCTTTTTATTCGAAGAACAGGACGTTCTAATAATTGTTCTTCGTTGATACACAAGACGGGGTGTTTTTTGGTTTGCTCATTGTTCCCGTCGATCAATGAGCAATTTTGGAGTTTAAATTCGCGGAATTATTTTTCTGTAAAGTTTCTATAAGACGCTTACTTTCATCTAACTGTTTTTTAAAGCAATCGCCAATAAGGTGTCCATTTCGCTCGCAATAATCGCAATGTCGCGGAATTCTAGGTTTGTCTTGGTTCATATTTAATTTGAGGTCGCGTTTCCTCTGCGAGCAATTTCGCGAAATATGGCCCTGTTCGTTACAAGTGTAACATTTTCCATTATTCCTAGGATTTTTTGACGTATTTGCTTGTTTTTCCTCAGTAATACTATTCACAGGTTTGAACACCTTTTTGGGAGGATCATCGTTTTGAGACTTGGAATTATCAGAATTCTCGATTACGCCGTGTATTCGTTTTCGGTATTTAATCTCTTTTTCTGACTCGATTGCAAGATTAATCGCGCCTTGTAAAGTATTAAACTTTCCCCTTAACACGCGTGATTCTAGTTCAGATGTTAGACCGCGACAAAAACACGAAATTACCCCCTCTTCAATCTCTTTAATCTTTATAGCGGCAATTTCTGTGGGGGATTGCGATTCCGTTAATTCCACCATTTGGGAGAATATTTCATTGACCCTACACGAGTAAGACATAACTGTTTCGTTTCGATCCTGCTTGACACTCGAAATTTCGGTCTGTAATTGAAACATATTTTTCGGAGCGCCGAAAACTTGTTCTAAATTGGACAACAACGATTTCACGGTATATATTTTCATTTTTTTAATATATTTTTCTGCATCTCCGGAAATTTTGGTTTTTAATAATTTCATTATTAATGTTTCAAAATGGGAAGGAAATTGTTGCTCAACAAATTTACATTCCTGAGCGAAAGCCTGCACGGACATATTTGTACCTGTGAAGGTGGGAACAAGATCTACCATCGCCTTGACAGCGGAAATTTGGCTGGTTTTAAATGTTTGCGAATTGACAGATCCGGAATTCTGACGAATTAAGTGATTCATTGTTGAAGGGTTAAACTTATCTGTGTAGAGTTCAGAGGACGAGCCCGGTTCTTGATTTTCGAAACGTTGGGAATTTGTTTTTCTAATAACGTGAACCTTGCTAGGTTGTGATACAGGCCCTGATCCTCGATATTTTTCACGATAATTTTTTGATACTTTTTTAACTTGATTATCGTATTCCTCTATGTCACGATAATTCAGTTCATCTTCTAAATATTCTGCATCCATGCTGTCAACACTTTCGTGATCGGAGATTGTTTCTTGAAAATCGCTCATGTTGAACAAAATATGGAAATAATTGAAGTATAAGAAAGAGAAAATCCTGATTTCAAGATTCAAAGTTTAAATTATTAAATAATCAACTTTAATTTCAGTAATTTAAATTAAATAGCGAATTTCAAGAAAAAATCCTCTCACACATACATTCAAAAAACATGTACCACAAAGAATTTTCCATTTCAACATAAATAAGATGAAAATTTATTTCTTTATTACCATTAATCTTAATCAAAATTAATTCCCGAATTAGTATAATCACTTAAACGAAAGAATAATCAAAACAAGGATGTAAAAAGAGAGATTATATATAGTTTCCTATTAATTCTGCTCAATGAGAAAATTCTTTGTAAACGATTATTTATAATAGAATACTTTCGTCAAACCTTTACGAAGATTGTTTATTTTCTATAGATTAGCACTTTTAGCAATTCTTGATGTCAATACACACTTATCGGAAATGACCATAAAATTTTATCCTTTTTAGGGGATCACTCCCGAACTATCACAACACTGTTTGAAGAATCTGGAACACAGGGCAACAACAGGAACGTCCAGTAACGATCAGGACATCGAAGATCTACCAGGAACTTGAAGTCTCGAACTCAGGGTAATCGACCATAAGGAATCCAATGGGTCGTTGATGTTTTCTTGAGCAATTTTATTTGCTCAAATAAAAGTATTCACTTTGAAGAGTTTATAATTTAAATTTAAAAATTTTTGTATCTCAGTTTATGTATTATTTAAAGATTCTTTTATAGTCAATAAAATAAATTTTTATTTCCACCAATTTTGACTATTAATCACAAGAATTGTTTTCACTTTGATATAGTTCGATTCACAAATTTTAAAAGTTCAATTTTACACTGTGATTAAAGGAAATCACAAAAATGTGAAATTTTGCAAAAATTTAAATTTCCCGCACCGAGATCCCGGTTGAGCCCCCAAATTTTGTTACGTGCGGAGTTACGTAAATTACGCGCAGGCGTAAAATCCGCGAATTGATTTGTTGTTGGTCTCGGTTAAATTCCTTGATAGGAAAGCGGGAATATTTGAAATAAAACAATTGTAATTTCCGTTAAACGGAGGGAAAATCCTCTCAAAAGAAAAGGCATCAATTAACAATTAATAATATTAATTGATTATTAATCCAATACTTTTGAGATTAAAACCCAAGGATTTATTAAGAAATAAGAAGACCAAGTATACAAGATCGAGTTCTGGAAAACGACTTTCCAGCTCGAGATCGGTATTAGAACTAACTTAAAGGCTAATCGTAGAGAAGAGACTGAATCCATTCTAAGTCCATGGAAGACGTTTTTGCGCATGCTTTAAAGTCTATGCACCGCCTCCGCGAGATGCATCCAGCATCCCCACTCTACTATACACACTATGCAACTCTAGCTATACACTGTACATACTATACATAATATATCATACATTCGAAACATTCTGTATTTAACAATAACTTATAATATAATAATTGAATCTGTTTGTATTACAATTAAAAGTGACAGAATCTTATACCTAATTAATTATAAGTAATTAATTACCTATCTTAACTAATTTATTTAAAGATACAAGGCAATGATTCTAATTATATACTATATAATATGACTATTATTATTTTACTTTAAATAATAATACGTCAATCATCATAAGAGTCATCAACAATTACAAGAATCAAATATACTTTTATCAAATAAAAGTATTTTCCGTTGCAACGTCATTTATTTGTACGTGACTTTTCTCGATTTCGTGAGTCCAGTTTAAAGTGTGGTCAACATGTGTTTTTCGTTCGTTGAAAGGTTCTATTCACTTGAGTTTATTTTATTGCCCTTTTTTTGAAAGGTTTTTTATATATAAGTTTAATGAACATAGGGTGGTTTGTATTTCAATATATTTCAACTAGATTTACGACTTTTAATTTTTCTTTTTATCTTTTGGGACAACGGAATGTTTCAATAGTTCTTAAACATGTGAATGTTTGTATTTATTTAGGGAATATATTTTACTTCGAGCGTGACAAATTTTAACTATAGTTGTCAAAGTTATTTATTATTCTATTTGTATTTCAAGTTTCAAGAGTTTAAGATTTCCTGTTTTATGTTTTCCCAGAATTAAATTAAATATAGTGAAATATTTTAAATTCGACCGCGGTTTTTATTCGCGAATCGAGGTATCGATTAATTAACGAGCGAGGTGGTAGCCGCTCGTAACACACCATTTTTTGGGGCGACATCTACCTATATCTTGCGGACAAACGCGGAACTAACGTTTTTTCACTTAAATTCATTAATTAATGAAATTATTAATTAGTTTTATTACTGGAATATGATTGTAAATCATTTAGAAGGATATTGTTGAGTTATTTATCAAATAAGCTTATTAATTATCTTAATTTAATTAGCAAGAAAACTTGTGCTTCGATGTATCGAAAACTTGAAACATAACCTCATTTATTTTTGACGTTTACGACGCATTTAAAAGAAAAAACAAAAATAATTCTAAAGAAAGTAAACAAATAAAAAATAATATTTCAGCAATGATTTTTGCTACTTTTGAATATTATTAGTTAATATAATTAAAAGTATTCTGTGAAATAAAGAAAATGTCAAATCACTGACAGGAATAAGGAACAAATTACTAAAAAAAAAACATTTCTTGTTTTTAATGTAAATATAAATAAATAAAAGAAAATGTCTAAGGAGAATAAAAAAGCAGCTAAGTTTTATCCAAATAAAGCTGAAAATCGCTGTGCATATAGAAATTGTAACAATCGCCGTGGTGACAATGGTGTTATTTTGTTTTGTTTTCCAGATAAAACAAAAAAAGCTGAGAAATATGAAAAATGGTTTCACAATTCCGGTAAATAAATTATTTAATTTTCAAGTTTAATTTAAGTATAAAATATAAAATTCTAAATTTTATGATAATAAATCACTCGAGTTAAATTATTTATTTACTAATTAATTTTTTCTATTTCGAAAATTTACTAATCAATTTTTTTATTCAGAAAATTTACTATTTAATTATTCAATTAAAAATTTTTGGAAATAATTGAATTTTATGAACAATTTCATTCAAGTTTTAAAAAAAAATCGTTTTTGTTAACAATTGAAATTAAACATTTAATTATTGAATTTTATTAAAATTTTATAAAATATGCAAAGATTTTATAACGAATTAAGAAAAAAATTGAATTCTTTCGTAAATTTTTTTTTTTGAAAACAATTGAATTGTTTTGAAGAATTTATTAAAATTTTAGAAAATAATTGTATCTGTTCGTGAAATTTTATAAAAATTTTGTCTAAAAAAAAATTGAATTTGTGCAAAAAATTTTACTAGTTATAAAAGTAATTGAATTCTTACGAAGAATATTTTTATAAATATTTACGAAAATAATTGAATTCTTGCTAAGAATTTTTATTAAAATTTTTTGCAATTATTAAACAAGAATAGTTAATTAGTAAATTAGTTAATAATTGAATTTTTTAAAAGTTTGAATCTGAAATTATTAAAAAATTCATATTTGAAAATAAAAAATTTTGTAATTTGCATAATAATAAATTGAATATCACGTATTTATAGGTATAAATAAAGAAAATACCACCTGGAGATTAATGATATGTAACAGTCATTTTCACGGTGAAGATTTTACGACCTATGAACATCAAAAACTTCTTCCACGAGCAGTACCAATTGACTATCGGCTTATTGAAAAAGATGTACATCAACCATTTGATCCAACGAAAGTGGAGAAGGTTTACACTAATAATATGAGTGCAAATTATTTAAATTTTATTAAAACCGAAATTACCGAAGAGGATGATAGTGAGAGTGAGAAATGTGAAGAATTTACATTTGATCCGACAAAATTAAAGAGAGTTTATACCAGTAATTCGCCACATGTTTCGAAAGTTATTAAAAATGAAGATGATGAAAGTGACACTGAAAAGAAAGATTTACACGATTCATTTGAATTCGAAGCCATAAAAATAGAAGTAAAAGAAGAAGAAGAAGATTCATTTGAATCTGGGAAAGTGAAATCGGTTTATATCGATAATTCCTGTACAGAAAGTGTCGTTATTAAAACTGAAATAATTATAGATGAAAGTGAGAGGGAAAATACAATATTGCCGGATTAATTTTATACAATTTATACAATTGAGATTTTTCAACAAAAAAAGAAGAAATAGTAATAATAATAATAAAAAAAAGAGTGATTAGAATAAAAAATATTTTTTTATCAAGAATGTTCATTTTTATTTCCGCTGAACAAAATTACCAATTAAATTGAAATAATATTTGATAAAATATTACCTAAAAAATTAATACAGTTACTAATATTGATAATAATTAATTGCAAACAATTGTTAACAATATTATTACTGGTAAGCATGATTCTAGAACGAAAATTTACTCCTCAGTCATTCTTACTGAACAAGGAAAAATCGACTTGTAGTTTACAATCTGTGTACTTTACTTTTTTCCTTTTTCAAATTTCGACAAACAAGCTTATATTTCACTATCCATTAATTTAATTAATTAATTTTATAAATCAATTAATTAATTAACTAATTAGTTTATAAATTAGTTACTTTTTTCGTACTAAATTTCTCGAAATTTACAAGTATGAATGTAATTTCCCTTGAATGGAATTTTTATTCTCTACAACGAAATTCAATTTATATTAACTAAATTTTTTCAATTAAATTGTAATTAAACTTTCGTTTAAAAATTTCGTTATTAAATTGAAATTAAACTTTCGTTTAAAAATTTCGTTATTAAATTGAAATTAAGCTTTCGTTATTAAATGAAAATTTGCAGAAAACTAAAAATGGCATTTGGATAAAATTTAAAAAAAAACAGAAATTATTAAATGTAAAGGCAAGAGAATATTTCCTTTAAAAAAATTGTCTGCATTTTCATATTGAAAAAAAAATCGAAAAATTAGAACAAATTTGGAAATTCGGCTAAATTTTTAACAATTAACTAAGAAGAAGAAAAAATTGAAAGTTATTTCGATATTTAAAATGAACATTCTACTGTAAATAACTGTAAAAATTCTTATAATTTACGACAAGAGGATATAAATTATATTCGCTAAGCTATCCGAAAAAAAACAAGACAAATTTTTGTAATTTAACTAGTGAAATTTAAAACCTTCCTCGACCTCTGCCTCGCCCACCTCTCGCACTTCCTCCTCTATTAAATCCCCCTCGATTACCGAAATTTCCCCCCCTTGCTGAGAAATTATTTTGAAAACCGCCATTTCCACGGAAATTGTTATTGCCACCTCTAAAACCACTTTGTTGAGCGTTACCTCTGAAACCTCCGTTTCCACTGTTTCCTCTGAAACCACCGTTTCCGGTATTCCCTCTAAATCCACCTCCATTTCCGGTATTTCCTCTAAAGCCACCTCCATTACCGCTATTGCCACGGAAAACTCCATTTCCAGTGTTTCCACGAAAACCTTGATTTCCCATTCCTCGTCCTCCTGGACCTCCTACTTCACCTCCTCCTCGCATTAATTTTGGTATTGGACCACTGTCATTAGGAAATGATGAGGGATGTCCTCGCATTGCTGGTGGTCTTCGTTGAAATCCACCGCCCGTTATTGGATCCATATTGTGACGACAGGCATTCATTCCGCAAAGTGATCTTATCACTGAAAATACTTTCTCCTCTAAGGGACTTAATTCGAGAATTGCCTCCGGCTCTTTTGCTGCACGAATAACTAAACTCTCTAGTGCCGGTCTCAATGCGACAATCGCTGCCGCTGACTCTGGTTTTATATCCAAATTTATCCAATTATCCAATCTCACGACACCATCGATGTACTCGACTTTTCTCGAACCGAATAATAGTAAATGGATTGGAGAAACCATTGTCATTTGTTTACATGACACTGCTCTTGTTCGAATCTACAAAAAAAAAATTTATTATTATTATCAATTTATTAGAATTCAATTACTTTCAATAGAATTTTAAATCAATTACTCGAAAGAATTTTATTTTTCTACAAAAAATTCAATTATTTTCTAAAATTTCAATAGAATTCTTACCATTATTTTCAAATAAATTTTCAAAAATAATAAATTTCTTGCGCAGGAATTCAATTATTTTCGTAAATAATAAAATTTTAAAAGATTTGAAATATTTCTTAAACAATTTGAATACTATTAAATTACTTTATTAGAATTATTTAGAATTAATTATTTATTAGAATTCAAAAATTTTTAATAGAATTTTAAATCAATTACTAGAAAGAAATTAATTTTTCTACTAAACAATTCAATTAGTTTTCATAAGTATAAGAGTTCTGCGCAAGAATTCAACTATTTTTGTAAATTATAAAATTCTTTGCAATAATTCAATTATCATAAATTTTAAAATACCTACTTTATGAGAATTTAATTATTTTTAAAAATTTTAATAAAATTATTAACAAGATTATAATTATTTTCAAAAATAATAAATTTCTTCCACAAAAATTCAATCATTTTCATAAATAATAAAATTTTTTAGAATAATTTAATTATATTTAAATTCAAAACAATTTTAATTTTATTCTCCGAAAGAATTAAATTTTTTTTCGAAACAATTCAATTATTTTCACAAGTTTTAAAAAATTCCTTTAAAGATTTCAATTATTTTCATAAATAATAAAATTCTTCTCGACAATTTAATTATTTTCATTCATTTATAAAATTTTTCGCGGAAATTTAATTATTTTAAAGAATTTGTAAAAGAATTTTTTGCTGATATTCAATTACTTCAAAAAATTTTGATAAAATTATTTATAGGAATTGAATTATTTTTACAATTAATAAACCTCTTTAAAAGAATTCAATTATTTTAAATACAATTTCAATGAAATTTCTTAGAATTCAATTATTCTTAAAAATTTGATAAAATTCTTATTAAAAATTTTAATTATTTTGAAAAATTTTGAATTCTTCACAAAAATTCAATTATTTTCATAAATAACACAATCCTTCGCTAGAATTGAATTATTTTCATAATTTATCAAATTTTTCGCCGGAATTTAATTATTTTAAAGAATTTCTAAGCAAATGTTTTTATATTAATATATGGAAAATTAATTATTCACGTTGACTGATGCATTCGTAAAATAAATAATTATAATAAAAGAAAAAGTGAGAGTAGAAAATATACCTTTTCGCCAAAGACAAAGAATGGAAATGGAAATGTTTGCTCGAAATTACTGCAATTCACGGAAGTTTTATGAATTAATGCAGCTTTTGATTCGGTCGTTAAAACCTTTCTCTTCTCTTTATGAAAGCAAACATTCGGATAGAGTCCCATGCAGAGTAAAGCAGTAATAGTGTCGAGTCTAACATCCGCTCCTGCTTGATAATTCAATGGTGTTGGACATAAAGTTTCTTCTGGAAATCCTGCACTAGTCAAAAGTGCTTGCAACTGATTCTGTAAGAAATACAAAAATATAAAAAATTCTTTTCCTATTTAATTAAGTAAATTAAATTATTTATTTTTATTATTGCCCCAAGAAACTTTTCTTCGACGTTTCAATCTCGTTTGAATAAAAAATAATCCTAATTTAGCCTTGTCTGAAAAAAGTATCAAAGAAAAAAAATATTTTGAAGACTGAAAATCAGTGAAAGGATTAAAATTCTACCTTTGCTTCCCAGGTAATTCTCAATGTTGGCAGACTTAAATTCTTCCTCTCGCAAAATCTTTGCTCGGCCATCTCGCCATTCGAACGTGCCTCCTCCCACGATTGAAAAGCGTGCAACATTGCGACATGATCACTGAATCTTGCGCCGGCAAATGCTTTCTGCTGATAAGTCAGTCTCTTTGAATCCGGACCCATATTGTAGACCTCAGGGAATGTTGTACTATTCGCAGCCATCGTTGACAATGAATCGCCAACTCGAAACATGCATCCTAAAATCATCATTTTTCCCAATCTCGGCTCAATGGGCAAACGCGCCAATATTTTTCCCAATGGCGTAAGTTCATCATTCTTGTCCAAACATTTCATTTCTGAAAAAGGAAAATAAAAGAAATTCATCTTTCGTTTCTGAAAATAGTTGAAAAAAGTCGAGGCCTGTTAACGTAAAAAATGAAAAAGAAAGAAAGTGATAATTACCTCTGAGCATAACTTCAGCTTCAATAACAGCATCAATTGGAGGCGGTTCAATAGCCTTCGACAGAAACTGCCCAATACTTCCCAATCTCAATAATTTAATACTCAACGATAATTCATGTAATGGAGTTCTAAACATTTCCGGTGTCATATGCTCGTCCAATTTCTCATAACGTGCCCGTGAACAAAGATGAAAACAAAATCCCGGCCTGACACGACCAGCCCGTCCTTTTCGCTGTTCCAAATTCGTCTTACTCGCCCAAACAGTCGCATAATTCGTCATATTATTGTGCGACGTGAACAATTTCATTTTCGCCTTACACGAATCAATCACATAAACAACATCATTTATCGTCACCGATGTCTCGGCAATATTCGTCGAGAGAATAATTTTCGTCACATTATTCGGCACCGGATCAAACACCTTCCTCTGATCCTCCCTCGGCAATTGCGAATGCAATGGAATAATAAAATACTGCGAACTCCCATAAATTGGATGCTGCTGTAAATGCTTCATCATTGCAAATATTAAATTCCAACCAGGCAAAAATATCAAAACAGCACCCGGAATATTCTTCTCCTTGATAGAATTCAATAAACCCTCAATTAATTCAAAACTTATCTCCTTCTCCGGCAATTGTGCCATAGAATTTTTCGTACTCGCCGAATAACCAGGCGCGACAATTTTATTATAATTCTCCTCCGGTTCACCATCGGCTGTCGATTCCTCGTCACGATCACGATTCTTCCGTTTCTTTGTCCCCTCACTGGGCACAAAATTAGTCATTTCAATGCAATCCTCAAGGAAAAATTCCTCCACCGGATAAGAACGACCGGGAATTTCAATCACTGGACAATTGTTAAAGTACTGACTGAATAATGTTGTGTCAATCGTTGCGGACATGAGGATAATTCTCAAATCCGGATAGCGATGAATCATATCGCGGAGAACGACCATTATAAAATCGGAATTAACATCGCGTTCGTGAATTTCGTCGACAATCACGTGCGAAACACCACGAAGACCGCCTTCTAATTTCCGTAAAAGTACACCAACTGTGCAGAACATAACGCTCGCGTAAGGACGCGGAAGACACGATTCAAAACGCACTGAATAGCCAATTGATTGACCCAGTGATTCACGTCGTTCGGATGCTACACGATCGGCAACCGATACGGCGGATATTCGACGTGGTTGAGTAATTACCACCGAACAATATGCACCCTGTCCTGACATTATGTAATCGTCGAGGATAAATTGACAGACTTGAGTTGTTTTACCGCAACCGGTATTACCGCGAATTATTATTATTGGATTGTCATTAATTGCGGACATTATCTCATTTTTCCGGGCAAACACGGGTAATTGAGATCTTTCTTTAATACTTTGTTGGAGGGATGCATCTTCACGCATTCTGTCTCTCTCGACGTTCATCGTGTCGTCGGATAATTGATCAAGTGACATTGTTGCCAATGGTCCTTCGTCGATATTACAACCGGTCCATGGATTCCAATTTTGTTGCGGTGGCGACCAACTTACAACGCCAGCTGGTTGTGGAATACTTGAGATAAAATCGTCTAAAACGTGATCTGTCACCAGTGATATTCCGCCTGATTTGTCCGCGTTTACATCCTTTTTCAATAGCTAAAAAAAAAGAAAATTAACAGAAAACTAAAAAAGAAAATTTGTTTCCTTTTTAACTATATAATTATTTTTAAAGAAATCACATTTTTCAAAATTTTTAATAAAATTCCTTTGAAAAATTCAATTATTTTCAAAAATTCTTGGAAACAATTCAATTATTTTCAAAAATAAAGAAAATTCTTCGCAAGAATTAAAATATTTTTATAAATAAATAAAATGTTTCGGAGGAATTTAATTATTTTCAATAAAATTTTAATAAAATTTCTCGAAATACAATTATTTTTTAAAATATTATTTAAATTCAATTATTTTCAACAATTCTGAAAAAAAATTCTTCGAAACAATTCAATTATTTTTATAAATTGTAAATTTCTTGTCAAGAATTCAATTATTTTCAAAAATAAGAAAATTCTTCGCAAGAATTAAAATATTTTCATAAATAATAAAATGTTTCAGAGGAATTCAATTATTTTCAATACAATTTTAATAGCATTTCTCGAAAGAATACAATTATTTTTAAAAATATTATTTAAATTCAATTATTTTTATAAATTGTAAACTTGTTGGGAAGAATTCAATTATTTTTATAAATAATCAAATTCTTCTGAGAAATTCAATTATTTTTAATACAATTTTAATTAAATTTCTAGAAAAAAATTCAATTAAATTCAAGATAATTTTAATAAAATTTCTCTAACAGATTCAATTATTTTTAAAAATTGTAATAAAATTGTTTAAAGAAATGTAATTTTCTATGGATAATTTTAATATAATTTAATAGGAAAATCGTTAATTACAATTCATAATAAACACGATTATTTTAAAAACTTAAAAGAAATTCTTCTTAAAATTCAATCATTTTAAAAATTCCTTTATTTCCAAGAAAATTGAAATAACTTCTTCAAAACAATTGAATTATTTTAAAGAATTTTAATAAAAATCTTTGCCAAGAATTAAATTATTTTCAATAAAATTTTAATTACATTTTCTTAAAAGAATTCAATTATTTTCAAATATTTCTATACAATTCTTCAAAGCAATTCAATTATTTCTTAAAATTTTAATAAATTCTTCGAAACATTTCAATTATTTTTATAAATAGTAAAATTCTTCGCAATAATTCGCAAAAATCGATTATTTCTACATATAATTGAATTTTTAAGAAGAATTTTATTAAAATTGTATTTATAATAATTGAATTCTTCATAAAATACAATTATTTTCAAATTTTTTTATAAATTACTTTTTGTAAATAATAAAATTCGTCTCATAAAATTAATTATTTTCAATACAATTTTAATAAACTTGAATAATCAAATATTTAGTTATAATTATTAACAGACACGGTTATTGAAAATAGTTGAAAAAATTTCTTTGTTTAATTCAATTCTTTTCAAAATTTCCAATTAAAATTATTTAAAAAAACTAAATTATTTTCAAAAAAACTTAAAGAAATTTTTCGAAAGAATTTAATTATTTTCTATATTTTAATAAAATTCCTTGAATTACATAATTGAATTATTTTAGAAAATTGTAATAAAATTCTGAAAAACATTGAATTATTTTCTAAACAATTTAATAGAATTCAATAATTAAATGTTTAATTTCAATTATTAAGAAACACGATTATTTAAAACCTGAAAGAAATTATTCATAAAATTCAATTATTTTCAAAATTTTCAATTAGATATTAGAACTATTAATGAAACTCTATTATTTAATTAAAATTCAATTATTTCCTAAAATTTTAGGAAAATTCTTTGAAACATTTCAATTTTTTTTTATAGAATTTTACAGTATTTTCGGAAATGCCAACAATGATTTTTTTTTCAAAAAATGGACCAAAAATGTAAAATTGGATACTTTTGACAAACTTCAAAGCCAAAAATCATTACGAAGACCACGCTAATTTTCAAAAAAATGTATTAATGAATTGTTTGTTCAGCCATACAGAAAAAGAAGATAATAGTCTGAATTTTCGGGAATGTCAAAATTTCGTTTAATCAGCCAATATTTAGAATTTTCAATAAAATAAAATAAAAATTTCTCATTAACTTACAGGTGGTTGGTGAATATTAATTGGCCTAATTTGCAATCCATCCAAAACATCGTTAATCTCGTGCTCGAGTTCTTCGCTTATTTTCACCGGGTATGCCTGTAATTGATCGACTTCCTTATTTTTCTTCAGCGTCCCACTGAAGGCCTCAATAACACCCAAATGATACAATTGTCGTACAATTGACAATGCACAACTTTTCGAAGCCGTTTGCTTATTCGATGCAGTTTCACGACCAATAATCACTGAAAATCGTCGAAAAAGAAGTTCAATTAAATTTTAATTCAACAAAAGTAATTTTTCTTTCTACAATAAAAATATTTTTGAACATTGCTTTTTCTTAAATTACATTAGTAAACATTCTTTAAAATATTTGTTTTTTTTGTAAAAATAAATGGAAAAAAAATGAAATAATTATGTTTCTGTTTTTTTAACTTAAATTTGCAAAAAAGAATAAAAATTTAGTAAAATAATGTTAAATATCTTACTTCTTCTCAGTTGATTTACGTGAATTTTCATTTCAGCCATAAAACTCCTGTAAATGATAGAAAAATCTTTAATAAAAATATAAATTTATATATTCGTCTTGAAAAAAATTATTTAAACCATAAATAAATTCTTTTCTTTACTCCCATTTATACAGTCAAGCAAAAAAAAAAATAAAACTCACCCCTTAAAAGTTATCCGAAACCATATTGGAGTACATTGTCCATATTTCTGCAAGTGACAAAAATACCAAAATAATTATTGAATTGTTCCAATAAAAAGTTTGGTTACAATTTCGTTTGCAATATTATATTCAAGGAAATTATTAATTTTTTTTTTTGACATTTTCCTCAAAATTTATGTTATAATTATTCAAGACATGATAATGTACTCCATGATGGTCTCGTTAAATTTTTTTTTAAATTTATCACAAGGAGAACTCATTTTCAACTTCAAAATGAATTCTCAATTATATAAAAAGTAATTTTTATAATAAGAATGTAATAAGAATTCTTATTTGACAGAATAAGAATAATCATTCTTCTTATTTAAGAGAATAACTGAAAGATAAAAGTAGCTTTTGACTCATGTTTTTTCAAAATATTAACATAACTTCATAAAATTTGACTAAAAAAAGAATTTACTTTAAATTCGAGGGGAAAAATAGTCTTGAATTTTTTATTCTTCAAAATATACTGCAGACTAAATTTCTTCTCTTACAAATTAAAAATTTTGTTTTCACTTTTTAAATATTTTTTCTCTCTAAATAAAAATTAATCGAAAGTCAGTCAAAAGCTAATTTCGTCTTAACAATCTTAATCTTTTTTAGCCTAATTTTCTTATTTTTTCCTAATTTTCATCGAAAACATTTATTTTTTCTCTCATCCTGCTAAGAACTTTTCAATTCAAAATTTTTGAAAAATTCAATTATTTTTTAGATTTTAATTTCAAATTCATTTACAAAATACAATATTATGTTTAAAATTCATTTTTAATAGTAAAAAAAGAAAATTCTTTCAATTATAAAATTTATTTCAATCAAATTCGACAAAATTTCCAAATAATTGCAAATTTAATTTAATCTTTTTAAATTTTTACCAAATAAAATTTTCATCGATTTCAAATTAAAAATCTTTTGAAATTTAATTATTTTAAAAATTCTAATAATTATTTATGAAAATAATTTAATTCGCTGCTAATATTCAATTATTATCAAAAACTTTAACTGAAACTCATTTTTAAATAAATTTTTATTAGAAAGTTCTATGACAATTCAATTATTTAAAAATACAAAAATAAATAAGTTATAGAATAATTAATTATTTCTTAAAATTGAATTCTTTTAAAGAATATTAACAAATTTTTTTTGAAAATAATTGAATTACGTAAAAAATTTTACTATTTCGGAGAAAAATTTAAATCTTGCAACGAATTTTATTAAAATTTTGTAAAAATAATTGAAATCCTCAGAATAATTTGAATATTTATAAAAATAATTGATTTGATTAATTTCTTTTTATTTATTGAATTCACGTAAAAAAATGTATTATTTTTGGAAATAATTAAATTCTGACGAAGAATTTTATTAAATTTTTTAGGAAATAATTTAATTTTGACAAAGAATTTTATTGAAATTTTTAGAAAATAATTGAATTATGACTAAGAATTTTATTAAAATTACATGCCAAATATTTAAATATTATGAAGAATTTCGTCATAATTGCTTTGAAAAATATTTTACATTGTACAGAATTTAGTCAAAAAATTTTTTTAAATAATTAAATTCTTTTCAAGAAGAAGAATTCTACAAAAAATTATTTTAATAATTGATTTTTTCTGAAAAACTTGTATTGTAAATAATTGAAAATTCCAGTGAAAAATTTTATCATTTATAAAAATAATTGAATATTTGCGAAGAATTTAAAAAAATTTTTTTTTTTGAATAATTGATTTTTTTTTATAAATTTTACTAAAATTGTATATATTGAAAACAATAGAATTTCGAATATTTTTTGAAACTAATTTAATCGTTTTAAAAATTATTCAAATTTTTAAGAATAATTTTTTTCATTTCAACTGTCAGTGAATTTAAAGTTGTGCAAATTCTCAAAAAAAAAAAAGGAAAAAGTATCTTTTAATTTAGTGTCATAAATCTAAAAAAGTATCCAAATAGTAGCAAATCGTGAAGAAAAGTAGTGAATAATATAGGTTTTAGTAGATGAGTGCGAAGCCTGGAAAAATAATTATAAAAGAAGAAAAATTACATACTTTGTATGATCGGGACCAACCGGTGTATACTTGTAGTCAGCGGTTATTTTATTAGTTTGCATAAATTGATGAAGTTTTGATTTTGCATTATCCATTGTCCAATTGCCATGAATGCCAGAATTCACATCAACATCCTCAGCCTCTTCGACTTTTATTTGATCTGCCATTCGATCACGATAAGTATAATTACTCTGTCCACCTTCATTATAGGGTCGATAAGCTTGTCCAATATCATTTGGACCCATGCCATCTTGAAATACTGATTTTTGTGGAAGTTGAGGTGAATTGTCAATTTCTTCCTTAGCACCTTTAACTTGCGACAATGCATTTATATCGCCTGGTACATCTTTCTGATTAACAAAACCATTTCGCACCAAATAACTGACAAAATCACGCGATGCATTTCCCTGTGCGTCCTTTTTATTTGTCGAATTTCCCGCGGCAACATAATCGCATCCTGTCACTCGTAATTCACAAAGAAATCGTTGCCGATGTTTCGGACCTATTAATAATGATAATTAATTAATACCATTAATAATAATATCAAGAAAAAAATTCTTCCGAGGAATTCAATTAAAATTGTTTTGAAAATAACTGAAAATTCTTTGGTGTTCAAACAATGTTAATATTTATATAAAAATCATTGAATTCTTGCAAAGAATCTTATCAAAAAATTTGAAGAGAATAGTTGAACTCCTTTGAAGAATTTTTTTATTTATGACAAATAATTGAATTCTCGCGAAGATTTTTTTTTAAATTTTTAAATAATGTAAATAAATGAATTTTATGTAAATATTTGAAAATAATTAAATTCTTTCGAGGAATTCTATTAAAATTTCTTTAAAAAGAATTGAATTTCTGTAAATGATTTTACTATATTTATAAAAATAATTGAAATGTTTCGAAGAATTTATTAAAATTTTAGGAAATAATTGAATTGTTTTAAAGAACTTTATAGAAATATTTGAAAATACAAATTAAATTCTTTCGAGAAATTTAATTAAAGTTGTTTTGACGAATATATTTAAAAATTGCATCGAAAGTAATTTAATTTTTATAAAGAAATTTTTTAAAAATATTTTGAGAATAATTGAATTATTTTTAGAGAATTTTAAATTCTTGTTGAAATTGAATTTTATGGAAATTTTTGAAAATAATTAAATTTTTTCGTGTTATTTTAATGAAATTGCATTAAAAATAATTTAATTCTTATAAAGAATTTTTACTATTTATAAAAACAATTGAATTCTTACGAAGAATTTATTAAAATTTTACGAAATGCATTAAAATTTTTTTTAAAAAATTGATTTCTCCCGAGGAATTCAATTAAAATTGTTTTCAAAATAATTGAATTCCTGCAAAGTGTTTTATGATTTATAAAAATAATTGAATTTGTTTCGAAGGATATATTAAAATTTTTTTAAATAATTGAATTCTTTAGTGAAATTTTATTAAAATTTTCTTAAAAATAATTGAATTTTTGTAAAAAATTTTATGATTTATAAAAATAATTGAATTCTTGGGAAGAATTATATTAAAATTTTTGAAAATATAAATAGTATAATAATAAAATACAAAATTGGCATTAAATTCGATCTATTTACCTGTAGGACGAACGTCGAATTGAGGTTCTTTGGTATTTTTGATACACCACTGATGAAGAAACGATTTAATATCCCCCATTGTTTATTTATTCGTTCTTCTCTCGAGATTAAAAATTGGCTTTTAAATACCCACAGGCAGACACTGAATAATAAAATGTCTGCAAAAACGAATCGAAAGTTACTACAAATCGGTTTTCTTGAATATAAAAAGAAATTACACTTTAAACTCTGAATTTTACAAAAATCCATCAGGCATTATTTTGTAATAATTTTATTTACTACAATAAAACACACAATTTGAAAGAGAAAATGGAAAAATCATAAAGTGAAACAAACTTACCTCTTTTTAGAATATGCTTTTATGATTGGATTTATAACAAAAACTTTGAAAGAAATAAAACTACATTTTGATTTACTAACACTGAGGGAAATTAAGCACTTTCTTTTAATAGAATAAAGAACGTTTCTTTATAAATATTCCCGTATTATTTAAATATAAAATAATCAATAATTTTATTTAATTTTTAAGCAAAAAAGCAAGCTTCAGCAAGCTTTTCTGACACATGAGCAGAGTTGGGTAGGTTAATTACTACCTCTTCTCCCCCATAAAGCTAAATCCACACGAGTCAAATTGCACAGGTTAGTTCCGGATTTGTCCAACAAACTAGCCATCTTATTGGCTACATTCAAATTTGCGCGGGGACTAAGCTGACGCAGTTATAGTTTATATTAATTGTTTATTATTAATTAATTAATATGCATCAAATTGATAATTAATTAATTAACATTTTATTATAATTTATTTATTTTATCTTAATTCGTTTTTAAATTTCGGGCTGTATGAAGTATGAACCGTATGAACAAACCCAAAACTAACCTAACTTTACATTACAATTTTTGACAATTTGTTTATTGTTATCATTTGACGTTTGTACAACGTTTACATGGTTTACATACAAATAATTATCATAATTATCAATACGTATACAATAAAGTTCGTGAAAGGGTAAAATAACAAAAGAAACAAAAATTCAATAAGATATTTTTTGTTGAAACACCAACAAAAATAGGGAGAAATGGAAGATTCGTCAGAAGACGTTTATAGGTTAGAAGGCTCGCAAAATGAAACTGGTGGTTTAATTATTCGTAAAAAGGCATCGGATCATACATTTAAAAAACCTCAGACATCAGCATTGGGTCTTGATAAATTGGCTGAAAAAATACGTAGTGAAAAAGAGAAGAAATATCGTGCACCCCAGGAGGAGACACCAACTTATACTGCTGGTGTTAATCGAGAAGCTAGAGAACGTTTGGAGTCACGATTAAAACGACAGAGATTACATGCTCACGATGATGATCGCTATAAGGACAGAGATAGAAATCGTGACAGAAAACGAAGTGACGATAGGGATTATCATCATCGTCGGCATCGTGATTACAGCAGTAGAAGTAGCAGTAGTCGTGACAGTTCACGACAAACGCCACGATTTCGCGATGAACCCCAAACACCAAAATACAGGGCAAAGGTAAAAAAAGAGAAATATATTTTTCTTTCTATCTATTAAAAAGAAAAATAAATTAACTACTTTTATTTAAAAACAATACATTTTTAAATGAAAGTATAGTTAATTTATTTTTTTGAAACAAGGGAAATAAAACGAAAACATTTGGACAATGATTAAAATATATTTACTCCAACGTTTCGAAATCTAAAAGGGTTCTTCTTTTATTTTCTTATTAAATAGAAAAGTATAATTAATGTAACTATAAGTATAATTGTTTCAAGTTTGTCAAAATTTTAATGTAGTGAAGAAAAATTGATTTAATTTGGTAAAAAAAAATTCTCCTTTTTTTATTAGGACACGACATCGAGAAGTAATTGGGATGATGACGATGATGATGGTGAACCTCGACGTTCTACTTGGGATCATCCGACACCTCAACTCTATGGATCACGAAGTAAAGAGGGAAATAGTGTCAGAAGTGAATTTACACCTTCTTATAAATATAATGCCTGGAGTAAGGACAAAAAACATTCGGGCGCAACGCCTAAGGTCGAGGACGAGGATAAAGAATATTGGGAAGAAGAACAAAAGAGGTAATCAATTTTTCCTGTAATCAATTTTCCAACTCGAAATGCAACTATTTTTTTAACATTACATTTTATTTTAATAATATAATTAGGTATTTAACTAAATTCAGATCCTTTATTCCTTTTATTTTTTTTATCAATCAGTAATCAACTAATGCGAATTTTTTTCTCCTGTTTGAATTTCAAATAGGAGAAAAAAAAGTGCTGATCAATTGATCCTAGGGCTAAAAGTAAAATAAAAAGAATTTAAAAAGTAAAAAGTAAATAAAAAAAAGTGAAATAAATATTAGAAATTTAATAAAATTTTTGTAAAATTCAACAGATTGGATCGCGAGTGGTATTCCCTTGACGACGGCGAGACGCAACATTTCGGAGGCGTATCCGAGGAGTACACCCAAAAGAAAGAAATGGAACAAGAGGCACGTCGCAAAAAGCGTATATCAGCCCAACAGCGTCAAATAAATAAAGACAATGAATTATGGGAACGTAATCGAATGCTCACATCAGGTGTCGTTTGCTCTCTCGACATTGACGACGAGCCAGACGACGAGGCCGAGGCCCGTGTTCATCTCCTCGTTCACAACGTTGTGCCACCATTTCTCGACGGTCGTATCGTATTCACAAAGCAACCCGAACCCGTTGTACCCGTCCGCGATCCAACCTCCGAAATGGCTCAAACCGCTCGCAAAGGTTCGCCCCTAGTTCGCGTCTATCGCGAGCAAAAGGAACGTCGCAAGGCCCAAAAGAAGCACTGGGAATTGAGTGGCACGCAAATCGGCAACATTATGGGCATCAAGGACAAGCGTAAGGAGGAAATGAAAGACGAGCAACAGACCGATGTCGATTTTAAATCGGGGCAGAAATTCGCGAAGCATATCAGCGACGACGGTGGTGTGAACAAGTATCATAATATTCAGAAACAACGGCGAACTTTGCCGATATTTGCCGTGAGGCAGGAGTTGTTATCGATTATCAGGGAGAATAGTATTGTGATTATTGTCGGCGAGACTGGAAGTGGAAAGACGACGCAATTGACGCAGTATTTGCACGAGGAGGGTTTTAGTGCGAATGGAATAATTGGTTGTACGGTGCCTAGGCGTGTGGCGGCGATGTCCGTGGCGAAGAGAGTTTCGGATGAGATTGGATCGACGCTTGGCGAAAAAGTGGGATATGCGATTCGTTTTGAGGATTGTACGACGAAGGAGACGGTTATTAAGTACATGACGGATGGTATTTTGCTGAGAGAGAGTTTGAGAGAGGGAGATTTGGATCGGTATAGTGTTATTATAATGGACGAGGCTCATGAGCGATCGCTGTCGACTGATGTACTTTTTGGTTTGTTGAGGGAGATTATCACTCGACGATACGATTTGAAATTGATTATAACATCGGCGACTATGGACTCGAGTAAGTTTGCCGCATTCTTTGGCGATGCGGCGACATTCCACATTCCTGGACGAACATTTCCGGTGGAGATTAATTACTCGAAGAATCCGGTCGAGGATTATGTTGAGGCGGCTGTTAAGCAGGTGCTGCAGATACATTTGCAACCGCCAAGGGGGGATATTCTGGTTTTTATGCCCGGACAAGAGGATATTGAGGTCACTTGCGAAACACTTAAAGATCGGCTAATGGAGATTGAAACAGCTCCTGATTTATCGATTCTTCCGATTTATTCCCAACTCCCGTCGGATTTGCAGGCGAAGATTTTCCAACAATCAGAGGATGGAATGCGAAAATGTGTGGTTGCGACGAACATCGCGGAATCTTCTTTGACTGTCAATGGAATTGTTTTTGTCATTGATTCCGGTTATTGTAAATTGAAAGTCTATAATCCGAGGATTGGTATGGACGCACTGCAGGTGTATCCGGTGTCGAGAGCTAATGCCGATCAACGATCTGGAAGAGCTGGCAGAACGGGTCCGGGACATTGTTTTCGTTTGTACACGAGAAGGCAGTATTTGGATGAATTATTATTTACGGGAGTGCCGGAAATTCAGAGGACAAATCTGGCGAATACGGTATTGCTTCTAAAATCGTTGGGTGTTCAAGATTTATTGGCATTTCATTTTATGGATCCACCGCCACAGGATAATATTTTAAATTCACTTTATCAATTGTGGATTCTTGGGGCTTTGGATAATACGGGACAATTGACGCCATTAGGTCGACAAATGGCTGAATTTCCACTTGATCCACCGCAATGTCAAATGTTGATCGTCGCTTCGCAACTTGGTTGCACTGAGGAAATTTTAATCATTGGTGAGCAAGAATTTTTTCCCGTAAATCTAAAAAGTTTAATTTAAATTCTAATAATCGATAATTAATTTTAAAAAAGTAGCTTTCAAACTAAAAAATTTATGAAAATAATTAAATTTTGCAAAGAATTTCATTGGTATAAATATTTTTTTAAATAATTGATTTTTCGAAATTTATGATTTGTTATTATTTATTTTTGGTAAACAAATATTAAATAATTTTTTTCGATTTTTTCCAGTTTCCATGCTCTCGGTACCGTCAATTTTCTACCGTCCAAAGGGCCGCGAAGAGGATTCCGACTCGGCGCGGGAGAAATTTCAAATTCCAGAATCAGATCATTTGACGTATTTGCACGTCTATAAATTATGGAAGCAAAATAATTATTCGGCAATGTGGTGTAATGAGCATTTTATTCACGCGAAGGCAATGCGCAAAGTGCGTGAGGTGCGTCAACAATTGGAGGAAATTCTCAAGCAACAAAAAATGGAAGTCGTTAGTTGTGGTACCGAATGGGATATGGTGAGAAAATGTATTTGCTCAGCGTATTTTCATCAAGCGGCACGATTAAAGGGCATTGGGGAATATGTAAATTGTCGTACGGGAATGCCTTGTCATTTGCATCCAACGTCAGCACTTTTTGGCATGGGTTTCACGCCCGATTATGTTGTGTATCATGAATTGGTGATGACAGCCAAGGAATATATGCAGTGCGTGACTGCTGTCGATGGACACTGGTTGGCCGAACTTGGTCCCATGTTTTTCAGTGTCAAGGAAACGGGAAAGAGTAATATGGCTAAGAAACATCGGGCCGAGCACGTCTCGGAAATGGAGGATCAGATGAAGCAGGCCGAGGAGGAAATGAAGGCGAGAGCGCAGAGGGAATTGGAGAAGGAGCAAGCTTCAATCAGAAGGTATTTAATTGAAGGAATTTTCATTTTTGGTTTGAAAAAGATTATTTTTCTTAGAAAATAGAAAAAAAACGCTTTTAAAAGAGTTGCGTTTATAAATTTGATTAATAGATGAACTTCAATTATTATTTTCGAAAATTTTTCTCAATTCAATGATTTTCTATATATCTACAATTTTAATAAGAAATTTCCCAAAAGAATTCAATTATTTAAAAAGTTTTTATGTAAAATATAATTAAAATTCTTTCGACGAATTTTAGTAAAATTTTTGCAAATAATTTAATTGTTTCAAAGAAGTTTTTTTTTGATATTTTAAAGAATAATAATTATTTAGTCAATAAGTAAATTTTAAAAAATTTTGAATCTGAAATCATTTAGAGATTGAAGGTGATATTTGAAAATAAAGAAATTGCATAATAATAAATTAAATATCACGTTTCGTGTAATAAATAAATATAATTTTAATAATATAAAAATAAATTGCTTTTTTTAGGCAGGAGATTTTAACTCCCGGTCGATGGGAACCTGGAACACCAGCATCAAACAGAAGTCGAGGACGACTAGGCTTGTGAAGTCTTCTAATAGTAATTTTTAACTAAATATCAAGAATTCTTTTGTTTTCGATTCATTACATTAATAATTAAGTTGTTTTTTTTAGCAAAAATGGAAAATTATTTCTAATAATTTATAATAATTAATTGTCTTCGAAGTGAATTTTGAAAATTGTATATAGCAGTGTATATATATATTTTTCGTAAATAATAATGTGTTAATGAAAACCAATTTCTTCTTTGCTGTAAAAGTTGATTATTTTCTGAATTCTCAAATAACTTCCTTCGTTTAACGCTAACAATAAGAGAAAATAGAATATATTACAAAAATAAATATAAAAAAAAGTTCAAAATTAAATTTTGTTTCTTGAATTTTATAATTAAATATAAAAATTATGAAATAACTGAAATGTAATTGAAAACTTTAATTTTTTATTCTCTTAAATAAAAAATTAGTTTACAATAAATAAAAATACTGTTAAAAATAAAGATTGATTAAAACGTAATTAAAGAAAATAGAATAATATTGAAAAATCCGGTAAATAAAAGTTGAATAAAAAATTCGTCCAATAATAAAAAAAATGGACATTAATTGAATAGAATTAAGAAATCTAGTAAATAAAAAGTTAAATAATGAAAAAAGAATTGAAAAACTTCAAAGAAATTAAAATGGAAAAAATAGAATAATTAAAAAATGCAGTAAATATAATTTCACTAAATAGATAAAAATTTATCCAAAAGAAAAAAAAACCCGAGAGAAAAATGAAGCGAAAGTTTAAAAAAAACCCCCCAAAAAAATAAGTAAGGAAAACAATTATCATACCCGTGAAGAAAATTTATTCCCAGAGTTAATTTTTCAATATTTTTTATCTTCATCATTATCATAATACAAATTATTTATATGATACCAATTTTATTCGCAACATCAAGAGCATCATAGTCCCTTGCCAAGCGAACGTACGCCTTCTTTTTACCATCGGGCCTGATCAATGTGTTCACTTTACTGACATCAATGTCGTAAAGTTTCTTCACTGAGCTCTTGATGTGATATTTATTTGCTCTCGTATGAACAATGAATACGAGTGTATTATTGTCTTCAATTTTCTTCATGGCCGCCTCCGTTGTCAGCGGATATTTAATAATATTAAATGCGTCCATACTGCAAAACAAAGAAGTTTTCAAATTAGTAATTATTCAAATTATTTACCAAAACTTAGATATTAAAATTATTTACTGTCAGTATTGCGTTAAAGGTTTGTTTTCAGTGTTTCTCAAAGAGATTCCCACACATAAATCATCATTTATTATTTTTGAATTTTAATAAAGGTTTCTTACTTTTTTTTACTATTTTATTGTTCTCTTGATATTATTTTTACAATTTAAAATTTTACTGTTTTGTTTTTATTATTTTTACAATTTAGTATTTTACTGCTCTATTTTTACTATTTTACTATTACCAGTAGAAACTTTTATTAAAATTCGGTCAAGTATTTCCATAAACTAGAAATTAATTTTTTTTAGAAGAATTTTTCCTTTTAAAAATTAATTCACTTACCGGTTCCTGTTGGGAACACTTTTGCGGGGGTATTTTGGATCCCTTGGCGGCCTGAATGTCTTTGGCCGATGGAAATGGACTGACGTCCTAATTTTTCGTACACGTGATCCATGGACTCCTTTTAAGATCTACAAGAAAGAAATTCCCTTTTTAATTTTCTTTTCTTTCAATCAATAATAATCTTTTTCTTTTTTTTTCTTATTTGTCAGAATTGCGTTAAAGTTTTGTTTTCAGAGTTTCTCAAAGAGATTCCCACACATAAATCATCATGTCTTTTAAATTCTCAAAGACTCTAAAACTGATTTTTGATACTACAAAATAAAATAATTAAAATTAACAATATTGAAATAATATTAACTAGATTACTGTGAAATATTTTACTAAAAAAAAATTAAAATGGATTTTTTACCTTCTTTTGTGCTTTCAAGGCCTTTTGTACGGTCGCCGGTGTCTTTCCACCCTTGGGAATTTTCTTCGCGGGTTTAGCTGCTGCTGGTTTTTTCGCCGCTGCCGCTGGTTTTGCGGGTGCTTGCTTCTTAGCCGGAGCTTGTTTAGCGGCTGCAGGCTTTTTGGCAGCTGCAGGTTTCGCCGCCGGTTTCGTTACTTTCGACGTCGAAGAAGCTGCGGTCGCTGGCTTCTTTTCTGTCTTTTTCTCTGCGGACTTTTTGTCCCCAGACTTTGCGCCTATAAAAAGGAAAAGGCAAAAACAAATGAATGACTTACGAAAAAGTAAATAAATAACTTAGAAAAATATAAATAAATAATTTACAAAAAGTAAATTACAATTTTCTCTTCACATTACGAAACTATTTCACTCCATTTGAAAATTATTCTTTTTTCATAAAAAAGACGAATTCGAAAAAGAAAATAAACACAAAATAGAAAAAAATTTACCTTTCGAATAAAAATATTTAATTAATTGTTACTCAATTGTTATCTTTTTCAATATAAGAAACAATTTCTTTGTGACACGAAATCGAAAACAAATGCGTTCAATCACAGTGCATTTTAAGGTTAAGTTGTCAATGTTTGACGGTTGTTGAAAAAAATATACAAGTAAACAAATTATTTTCACTCACTTAAATAAAAATAAAGAAAAGCCAATTCAATTGTAAATATTGTCTACAGTTTTTTTATAGATAGAGACAAAAAATTTAACGTTTACAAAAAGAAACAGAAAGACCACATGGTCTTTTTGGAGATTCCAACTATTCTTCAATATTTTATTAAAAATACAATTTTGATTGAAAAATCTTTTAATTATTTATCACAAAAACGTGCACGATTTATATTTCTTTAATAAATATCCGTTCCATTAGAGAAAAGAGAAAAAATATTCACCTGATTTTTCCGTAGGTTTCGGTTTGGGAGCCATCTTTAGCTGAAAAGACAGGCACGGCAACCGGAAACGCAAACCACTGAATTCAAAAGCGGATGTCAAATACTACATTAGTCAGTGTTTGATTTTTTTGAATTTGAAAAAAAAATTATTTTTGTTTTACAGTTTTTGTATAACAACAATTTGCATTTTAAATGGAACTTTGAAGAAATATAATATTGAAAATATTTAATAATTGTAAATATAAACAATATTAGAAAAAACGACTGGATAAGTAAATAATTAATTAGCGCCTGACAAAGGGCTTTTTCACTTACTCCGACGTACGTCAGTTTTGTAATTTTTAAATAATATAATTTTAATTGCTTTAAATAAATATTCTTTTAAAATAATTAAATAAATTTATATTTATAAAATAATTAGAATAACTAATAAAAAATTTAATTTAAATTTTTAATCATTTATATATACTATATTTTTGAGTAATAAATTAATATATTTTTTTATTCATTTTTTATTATTATTTATTATTATTTTTAATAATAAAAATTTTGAAAATTAATTTTCACAATTTTTTCAGATATTGATTATAAGAGTGGGTTCATTTATTTAATTTTGGGACATACCCGCATGATCCCTTCTTTTCAGGAAAAAAAATAGAAACACCTGCCTCAGCAACGCATGTTTTCCATTTCATAACGTGAAATCAATCAGAAAACATACATGTATATTTTTTCATAAATTTTGTAAAACTCAATTTTTTATATTGTTAAAAAAGACAATTATTTTTTATTTTTAAAAATTATTTAGTATTGAAAAAATTGTTTATTTAAAAAATTAATTTATAAAAAAATGCTACAAACACGTTCTGCAGTTTATAAAATGATAAAGACTGAAGTTCATGAAGACAGACAGGTATGTTTGTTTTATATTTAAATATTATTATTAATTTTATTATTTTTATCATCAATTCTAGTTTTCTTATTAATTTATTTTTATTTAATATTTCTTATTTATTATTATTATTATTATTATTATTATTATTATTTATTTACAATATTATTAATTATTAATTTATTTTTATTATGATTATTAAGATAAATAATTAAAATTATTGATAACATTAAAAAATATATTTTTACTAATTATTTTTTGAATAATTTATTAGATAAAGAAATGTTTTTTTATGTATTTGTTATTTATTATTATTATTTATTAACTATTATTCAAAAATTATTTATTTAAGTCACAATAAATATTACATAATAATTATTTTTTAAAATAATTTTTAGATAAAAAAATGGCAACCTCCTTTCTCATCAGACATAACTCCTTATACGGAAAAAGAATTTTCATCAAAAATTCGTCGATTTTGTGGTACAAAATCCGTTTTTCCAAGAATGACAAAAGTTATTGTTTTAGGAGACGTTGCAGTTGGAAAAACTTCATTAGTTAATCGGTAATTTATGTGTAAATAATAGAAAAAATTTTTAAATAAATAAGTTTTGTATTTTTTTGTTGTTTTTTTAATTCTCTTCAGTTTTCGAAATTTTTTTTTTTTAATTTCTATTTGTAAATTTAAATTTGAAAATTTATTGAAATTAATTTTTTATTGTAGATTGTATTTAATTATTTATTTATTATTTATTAAATTATTTAGTGTAATTAAAATTTGTTTATGTAATTTATGTGTAAATAAATTTTAGAGAAAAACTTTTTAAATAAATATTTGTATTTTTTTTTAATTTTCTTCAGTTTTCGAATTTTTAATTACAATTTATTCACTATTTATTTGCAGTGTATATTTTAATAAAAATTTACAAAAATAAAATTTAAAATATCTAAAAATAATTTTAATTGACAATTTAATAATATTAATAATTTAATTTACACAGATTTTGTCACAAATCGTTTAATAATAATTATAAGGCAACAATAGGAGTTGATTTTGAAGTGGAGAAATTCGATATTTTGGGAATTCCCTTTAATATGCAAATGTGAGTATAAATATTTTGAATTTTCCCAAGTTTTTCTAATTAATTATTTAATTAATTATTTTTTAATTAATTAGCATCATTAATTTTTATTTTAAATGATAATTATTATTTTAGATGGGACACTGCAGGACAAGAGAGATTTAAATGCATTGCAGCATCTTATTATAGAGGAGCAAATGGTAAAAATTTGAAAAATTAAAAGAAAAAGTACAAATTCATTTGAAAAAAAAATTATTAATTTTTTTTTCCTTTTTAATTTCAGTAATAATGATAGTCTTCGATTTGGGAAATTTAATGTCTCTCTCGCATTGTAAACAATGGTTACAAGAAGCCAGTCAATGTAATACAAATTCGTATCATATTTTTTTAGTCGGTACCAAACGAGATTTATTGGTGAGTATTTCTCACTTTTTTTTATTTTAATAAAATAAAAAAAAAATTTCTTTTTATTCAATTAAAAAAAATAGCACACTTTTTCAAAAAAGTATTTTTTTTTATCACACACTGAGATAAAAATCGTATCAAAATTATTGCATTGCAACAATTTTGATAAATTTTTTTTCTCAAAATTTGATATCCTTAGAAAAAGTGTGTTTCTATTTATTGTAATTTCAAAAAAAAAATTTATTTTTAAATTTCATAAATAAATTAGTATTTTTTTCTTTACCTCACTTTCCAGTCGAATCAGGTCTATCAAATTATTGAGAAAAGAGCAACTGCAGTGTCAATTTTTATGAAAGCTGAATTTTGGGCCGTTTCATCAAGAACAGGCGACGGTGTCGATGAATTATTTTCTCGAATTGCAGTTCTTTCGTTCAATGCTTCCATTCTGAGGGAACTTCAAAGTTACGTGACTGACACTAAAACAATTGGATCACTTGGATTAATAAGTATAAAATTCAAATTTGTTCTTTACAATTAAATAATATAGAAAAATTGTAAAAAAAAAATTTTTTTCCGCAGTACTGAATAGTTGTTTCAATTTTTTTCCAGCTTTAAACAAAGACCAAAATGGATCATCGGAGAAGAATAAAAAACTACAAAAATGTACAAATTGTTCATTCTAGTCTCTTAAATATAAGTAATTAATAATTTACACTCAACATTTTTTTCCAAATAGAAAAAAATTTTCCTTCTGAAATTATTTCCATAAATAGTTTTCTTATAATCAGAATTCTTTATTTCCTTTTCTCGTAATTTTTCTTTTATCAGAATTATAATTTTTTTACTATATTATTAACTTATATGACAATTAGCAATAATTAATTTTCATAAAGTGTATTTATTGTGAAAGAGTTACACAGTTTAGATAAAATCGCATTTTAACAAATACTTTGTGCGTTATTAATACACATCATTTGGTCGGAATCGTTTCAAATATCAGATGCAGTCTATAATTATTATTTTTCTTTTGACCGTCAGCTAAAAAATTTATCGAATAAATAAATTGTTATTGTTGTATCATTTACGAATATGATATAGAATTATACAATAATTTATTAATAAAAATTTATCCTTTACTTTATATTACTATATTTTTTCACATTTTTCAAAGCTGAACGGAAAATTCACTTTCTCAAGTTTTCTTTTTAGAAATTTGTCAAATATCCCGCAATTGATTTATTTCTTCAAAAAATTTTCTTTAACATTCATAATAATAATAAAAATTTCATAATAATAATGAAAAAAAATTAAATTATAAAAAGTCGAATTACAACAAATTTTAATGCCTTTAAAATTAATTAATAATAATTAATTGTCAATAATTACTAATTAGACAATTAGTTAGTTATTAATTATTAGATATAAAGAATAATAAATTTTAAACGAAAGTAATTTTTCCAAGCGCAAATATTTTTTTGCAAACAAAAAGAGAACAAATAATAACAACAAAATAATTTATTTCTTTAACTTTTAGAAAATAAAATTTTATAGCTGAAAACTCTTTCATTTCTCTTTCATTTTCTCTGTCTCTCTCGCTTGCTCTCTATTATATTATATAAATTGACTCGTATATGAATAAAAAATATTTTAAATTCAAATAAAAAAAACATAAGCAATCGATAATAATAATATAAAAAATAATTTAATTGAACGTAAATAACATCAACTTTTTTCAATTATCTCTCGTTTCATTCTCTTTTTTTCACATTTTGTCATGACTTTTTACTCCCTTAAAATTAATAACAAACAAATGCACATAAAAATTAAGAGTGTCCATTATTTCGACATAATCGCAAAATAAAATAGTTTTCAAAACAAAAATAATAATAATAAGTATACGAAATTATTATAATTAAATTTCAAATTTAAATTAATTTGCAAATTAATATTGAAATTAATTTTCAAAATAGAAATTAAATTTTCAATTAATTTTCAAATTCAATTTAATATTGAAATTAATTTTCAGATCAATATTCAAATTAATTTTCAAATTAGTTTTCAAGTTCAAATTAATATTCAAATTAATTTTCTGACAAATATGCAAATTAATTTTCCTTATTGAAATTAACTTTTAAATTAATATTCAAATTAATTTCTTTAAGATTAATATTCAAAGTATTTTTGAGATTCATATTCAAATTAATTTTCAAATTGAAATTCATTTTCAGATCAATATTCAAATTAATTTTAAAATTAGTTTTCAAATTAAAATTAATACTGAAACTACATAATTTTCAAATATAATATTAATTTTCGAATTGAAATTAATTTTCTGATAAGTATACAAATTAATTTTCAAATTCAAATTAATTTTCTAATTAATTTTTGAAAATTAATTTTTACACTCGTCTTTTCCCTATTTTCACAAAAATATAAAAATTTTCCAATTTGAGATTATGTCAATGAACCGAAAACTCGAAATTAAAAAAAAAATAAAAACCTAAGACTGAAACAACGACAATTTGTCAAATTATATAATAATTACAATTCTTAAATGCACAGTGATTATTGATAAAAACTGTTATTCATGTAAAATTTTCGGAAATAATCATTCCTTATATATGAATGCGTTTACAAATAATTATTATATAATATTTATATTGCATTTTTCAGCAATCAGACGTGTCCCAAGTCGCTGTACATTTACAATAAACATATACAATATATTTTTTTTTGTTTTATCTAATATCTAAACATGACGGTATAAAGGACACAACTGATTAATTATATGTATAAGTTTCTATATAAATTTAAAAAGAAAAAAATTGCCTACGAGTGACATTTATTTATACAATTCACTCACAAAATTTACTTTCTAGTTTCGCGCGCAACATATACAGTTTTTTTTGTTTGCAGATAAATTTGCGAAAAATTTTTAATGCAAGAACAATTTATTCTTGTCTTTTCATTGAATTTTTACGATTTCGCATATTTATAAAATAATTTTTATCTTTATAGCCTACATTTTATATTATACAGACGTTGAAATTAAGGTACATTCATTCATTTTTCTTTTTTTCGAGACACAAATTCGCCGAATAAAAGAATAAAAATCTAATAATTCGAATTTATTTCGGAAAATTGAATTCATTATCAAAAAACTTAATAAATTTTGTTAACTTATCAAAAGAATTAAAATTTTTAGGTTTTTAGATAAAATTTTGATTAATTTTTTTGGCTTTTCTTTATTTTTTTTTATTATTCAAAATTTTTATTATTTTATTGCAAAATTATTATTCCAAAATTTTATTATTTTATCCCAAAGTTATTATTCTATAATTATTATTTTAAAATGTTAATTTTTCCAAATTTTTTTTCAAATTTTCAATTAGAAATTTCAAGAAGCTAATTCAAGAAGTAGATTTTCAAAAATTTAGTTTTTAAACAAATTTTGAATTATTTTTTATTATTAGTTTTTAAATATCTTTTTAAAGATAGTTTCTCAAAATTGTTCTTCAAAATTGTTTCTTAAAAAGTTTTTCAAAATAGTTTTTCTTAAAATTGTTTTTCTAAATTAATAATTTTCGTTAACTGTTAGTTTCCTTTTCCATAAATTAAGTTTTTTTTTTTTCTAAACTTCTACTAATTTTTTCTTTTCCACAAATTTTTGAATTATTATTCTAATAATTATTCGAATTACTCATTGATTTTTTAATATGTTTCCTAGTTTAAAGAACAATATATACAAATAATAATTCGGGCACTAAATTCGAATTTAATGTCGAGAAAAAATGAATCGTACCCTGTAAATATATCACAATCCAAAACTAACTCAAATTCACTAATTAAAAAAATTAATATAAAAAAACAAAAGAAATTTGTCAAAAAAAATTTAGTGTCTCAAGAAGAGTGACATTTTTTTTTTAATTACATTAAAAATAACGAATTTCTGTCAACAGAAATTAAAAAAAAGTAACTAAATTCTAAAATAAAAAAAAATTATCTGAAAGAATTTTTGATTGAATAACATGACTAAAATTTTTTATTAAATAAAAAATATTTTCTTTTGATTAAATTCAGTGAAGCGAATGTTTAATAAAAATAAGTATAAATAAAGTATTTCTGCGTGAAAAAACAGGCACACGAGAAAAAGATAAAAATAAAATAGTTATACAAATGATTTTATCAAACATTTCGAAACTTCACTTCGTCATCATTATTCTCTGATTAAAAAAAAAAAATTCTAAAATTCTAAGCAACATGGCAGTTTTTCTTTTCATTCTCCCCTCGAGAAGTTTTACAGACTCGAAAATTAAATATCAATCGCGATATAAAGAATTCAGTCCAAATTGTAAAATAGAAAAAATAAAAATTTTAAAACAAAAATTGAAAATTGAAAATAAAAACTAAAATTGAAAATAAAAATAAAAACAAAAATTGAAAAGAAGAACAAAAAATTGACTCGAATTAAAAAAACGTTTTGATTTCAACATGAAATGAAATAGTCTATTTTAATTTTAAATAAATATTAGATTCCCCTCTAAAAAGAATAAAAGAATTTTTCATTTTTAAAGCGATTTGGAAGACAAATTAGAACATTAACAGTAAGGAAGACAATTTCCTTTTCTCCATCTTGAAATCCTTTTTTTTTAAAGAAAAAAGTCTTTTTTTATAAAATGTTTCTCGAGTATAAAAACAAAAAGAAAATTGACTATTGTTTCAAAAGAAACGCGATATTTCTGAGAATATACTGGCCGACATTGCGAAAAATATCATTTTTAATGATAGAGAAAAGAATTTCTATTTCTGTCTCTTATGTCTAAGAAAAGCTTTCTGAGATTGAAATAAAATACTTGTTTTTATGTGTGTGTGTGTGTAATAATTGTAAAAAAAATTGTTTCTACATACCTATTTTTTATATATATGTATATACTATATAAAAGTTTATCAAGATGCGTATCAAAGATCAGTCTCAAAAAGAAAAAAATTAGGCGGTACTTGTGTGATTATTGGTGCCACTTATTGCGCTAAATAGCGCAGCACTGTTACGTTTAAAACTTCCAATTTGATCGTCCGACCATATTGGCTCACCCAATAATGATGATAAATTCTGGCACAGCTTTTGATAATTTTCACGTAATACCTCTTGATATTCATGTTGATCGGATGAAATTAGTTTTCCATTTATTTGTAAAGCCGTGTAGCAAATTTTCACAAATTCCCTGCGAAAAAAAAGAAAAGAAGAATAAGATGATGAAATTAAAAATCAAAATTTGTGATAAAAAATTTCAATTTTACTGAAAATAAACTAGAATTTTTCAATTTTATTTAAATTCAATTTCTCAAATTTTATTTCAAAACAAATTCAATTTTACCTATTTTTTGTTTAAAACATTCAATTGTTACCAGTTTAGTTCAAATTCAAATCTAATTTTTCTAATTTTATTTAAATTCTAAATTAATTTTTCCAATTCAATACATTAAATTCGAATTTTTTAATTTTATTAAAATTCAAAATCAATTTTTTCAATTTTATATGAAATTTAATTTAACTTTTACAGCTTCTTAATATTTTAATTTCATTTTTCCAGTTTCTTAAAATTTAAATTCAATTTTTTCAGTCTTAATTGAGTTTATAATCAATTTTTCCAGTTTTATTCAAATCGAAATTGAATTTTTCTACTTTTATTTAAATTCAATTTAAATAAAATTGAAATTTTAAATTTCAATTCAGATTCAATTTTCCAATTTTATTTAAATTCAAATTCAACTTTTTCAATTTTAAACTTTAAATTAGAATTTTCGACTTTTCTTAAATTCAAATTCATTTTTTCCAATTTTATTTGAATTTAAATTCAATTTTTCGACTTTTATTTAAATTCTAAATCAATTTTTTCGATTTAAGTCATTAAATTAAAATTCGAATTCAATTACTTCAATTTTATTTCAATTCTAATTAAATTTTTCTAATTTTTTGTAAATTCAAATTCAATGTTTCCAATTTTATATTAATTCTAAATTAATTTTTCCGATTTAAAACATTAAATCAAAATTATCAAGCTTTATTAAAATCTAATTTCTATTTCTCCAATTTTATTTCAATTCTAAATTAATTTTTCCGATTTAAAACATTAAATAAAAATTATCAAGCTTTATTAAAATCCAATTTCTATTTCTCCAATTTTATTTCAATTAAAATTCAATTTTTCCGATTTTATATAAATTCAAATTTTTCCAATTTTATTTGAATTTAATTTTAATTTTTATAATTTCTTAAAATTCTAATTCAATTCTTTCAATTTTACTTTAATTTAAAATCAAATTTTTCCAATTTTATTAAAAATCAAATTCAATTTTTTCAATTTTCAACTTTAAATTAGATTTTTTCAATTTTTATAATTTTACGTGAATTTAAATTTAATTTATGCTATTTTGTTTAAATCCAAATTCAATTTATGCAATTTTGTATAAATTCAAATTTCATTTTTCACAATTTTGTTTAAATTCAAATTCGATTTTTCCAAATTTTATTATTCGTATTCAACTTTTCCAATTTTATTTGAATGGAAAATTTCTATTTTTATTGAATTAAATATTAAATTCAAGTAAAATTTAAAATTAAAATTTCCCAATTTTATTTAAAATATAAAAATGGTAAAAAAATATTTTTTATTACCTAAAAACGTCCTTCAATTCGTCCACTTTATCGTCGGGATATTGTGGAGATAGGGCAGGATCTAAAAAGGCGGAAGCGTAGGCCAATGGTCCGGCGTTAACCGTCACGCAAACGCTTCCCTGCAACCTGAGTTGAAGTTTCTTTGCATCCGTTGGAACAATTAATGCAACGTCCTCCAATTCTTGAACTCTCTGTCTCATTTCATCTAAGGCAACTTCAATTGGACTGAGCTCCACAATTCGCTTCTCGATTATTGGAATTCGCTTCTTTACATATGGGAATGTATAATGAGCTGTCGACAAAAAAAGGAGAATTAAATCATCAATTATCATTTATAATAAATAAGATAAATAAGTAGAGATAAATAAAATAAAAAAACAGGTAGGGAAACAAAATAAATAATCAGACAAAGAAAATGAAGTAAATTGGTTGAGAAATAAAATAAATAAGCAGATGAATAAAATAAAATAAATAGAAAAATAAAATAAATACGTAAATAAACAAAATAAAATAAATAAGTAAATAACTAAATAAATAAGTAAATAAATAAATAAAATAAATAGACAAATAAATAAAATAAATGAGTAGACAAATAAAATAAATAGATAGACAAAGAAAGTAAATAGATGAATAAAATAAATACGAATGAGTAAATAATATTAATTGCAATAAATTACTCGTGAGGATGCTTCTTCGCTTCCACTGCTCCTCCGGACTGCCCCTCGCTTTCCCCTCTTTCGTGAATGGCGTTTCGAACATAAAACACGAAACGTCATGATTTTGTTCGAATTCCGTTGGTCTTCCTTCCAATTCGGTTTTCTCAAAATACGGAGTCACGTGTGTCACTTGAATGTAAGCCATTTTTGAGTCCAATTCAGTAACGTCAACAGGCGTCGAATCCATGATCATCTTCACATTCTCGGCACCGAATTTCTCCGAATAAAGATGATAGAGTCTTTCCGAAATTTCCGAAAGCGATGTCACTTTCGGTTCCTTGTAAATATACTCCTGCGCGTTTTCCTCCTCGAAATAGGCCTGAAATCGTCAAAAGTTTCCAAATTAATAAAAAAAATAATAAATAAAAATATAATTATTTTATTGTTCGAAAAGAAATAAAATCTGTGAATAAAATCTATATGTTAACAATCTATAAGAAATAAAATCTATACATTATAATAATCATAAGTTTCCTTTCCGTTAGCAAATTATCTGCATTCATTTGTTTGTTTTGAAAATTAAATTTTGTGGGTTAAGTATTGTCATTTTTTATATATTTTTTAATGTCAAACTTTTTAATGTGGAAAATACTTTACTTATTAAATTGTCTCGAATCTTTGGTAAAAAATCTAAAATTATCAAAAATTCGAAAAATTTCAAAAATCCGATTTTCTTAAAATTCAACATTTTTTTTTCTCTTTTATGGGATTTAGCTTCATTATTTTTGTGCTTTTGGAAAATACTTTACTTATTAAATTGTCTCGACTCTTTGGTAAAAAATCTAAAATTATCAAAAATTCGAAAAATTTTAAAAATCCGATTTTCTTAAAATTCAACATTTTTTCTTTTCTTTTATGGGATTTAGCTTCATTATTTTTGTGCTTTTGGAAAATACTTTACTTATTAAATTGTCTCGAATCTTTGGTAAAAAATCTAAAATTATCAAAAATTCGAAAAATTTCAAAAATCCGATTTTCTTAAAATTCAACATTTTTTCTTTTCTTTTATGGGATTTAGCTCAATTATTTTTGTGCTTTTGGAAAATACTTTACTTATTAAATTGTCTCGAATCTTTGGTAAAAAATCTAAAATTATCAAAAATTCGAAAAATTTCAAAAATCCGATTTTCTTAAAATTCAACATTTTTTTTTCTCTTTTATGGGATTTAGCTTCATTATTTTTGTGCTTTTGGAAAATACTTTACTTATTAAATTGTCTCGACTCTTTGGTAAAAAATCTAAAATTATCAAAAATTCGAAAAATTTTAAAAATCCGATTTTCTTAAAATTCAACATTTTTTCTTTTCTTTTATGGGATTTAGCTTCATTATTTTTGTGCTTTTGGAAAATACTTTACTTATTTAATAGTCTCCAACCTTTGGTAAAAAATCTAAAATTATCAAAAATTCGAAAAATTTCAAAAATCCGTTTTTCTTAAAATTGAACATTTTTTTCTCTCTTTTATGGGGTTTAGCTTGATTATTTTTGTGCTTTTGTAAAATTTTTTACTTATTTAATAGTCTCGACTCTTTGGTAAAAAATCTAAAATTATCAAAAATTCGAAAAATTTCAAAAATCTGATTTTCTTAAAATTCAACATTTTTTCTTTTCTTTTATGGGATTTAGCTTCATTATTTTTGTGCTTTTGGAAAATACTTTACTTATTAAATTGTCTCGAATCTTTGGTAAAAAATCTAAAATTATCAAAAATTCGAAAAATTTCAAAAATCCGATTTTCTTAAAATTCAACATTTTTTCTTTTCTTTTATGGGATTTAGCTTGATTATTTTTGTGCTTTTGTAAAATTTTTTACTTATTTAATAGTCTCGACTCTTTGGTAAAAAATCTAAAATTATCAAAAATTCGAAAAATTTCAAAAATCTGATTTTCTTAAAATTCAACATTTTTTCTTCTCTTTTATGGGATTTAGCTTCATTATTTTTGTGCTTTTGGAAAATACTTTACTTATTAAATTGTCTCGAATCTTTGGTAAAAAATCTAAAATTATCAAAAATTCGAAAAATTTTAAAAATCCGATTTTCTTAAAATTCAACATTTTTTCTTTTCTTTTATGGGATTTAGCTTCATTATTTTTGTGCTTTTGGAAAATACTTTACTTATTAAATTGTCTCGAATCTTTGGTAAAAAATCTAAAATTATCGAAAATTCGAAAAATTTCAAAAATCCGATTTTCTTAAAATTCAACATTTTTTCTTTTCTTTTATGGGATTTAGCTTGATTATTTTTGTGCTTTTGTAAAATTTTTTACTTATTTAATAGTCTCGACTCTTTGGTAAAAAATCTAAAATTATCAAAAATTCGAAAAATTTCAAAAATCTGATTTTCTTAAAATTCAACATTTTTTCTTCTCTTTTATGGGATTTAGCTTCATTATTTTTGTGCTTTTGGAAAATACTTTACTTATTAAATTGTCTCGAATCTTTGGTAAAAAATCTAAAATTATCAAAAATTCGAAAAATTTTAAAAATCCGATTTTCTTAAAATTCAACATTTTTTCTTTTCTTTTATGGGATTTAGCTTCATTATTTTTGTGCTTTTGGAAAATACTTTACTTATTAAATTGTCTCGAATCTTTGGTAAAAAATCTAAAATTATCGAAAATTCGAAAAATTTCAAAAATCCGATTTTCTTAAAATTCAACATTTTTTCTTTTCTTTTATGGGATTTAGCTTCATTATTTTTGTGCTTTTGGAAAATACTTTACTTATTAAATTGTCTCGAATCTTTGGTAAAAAATCTAAAATTATCAAAAATTCGAAAAATTTTAAAAATCCGATTTTCTTAAAATTCAACATTTTTTCTTTTCTTTTATGGGATTTAGCTTCATTATTTTTGTGCTTTTGGAAAATACTTTACTTATTAAATTGTCTCGAATCTTTGGTAAAAAATCTAAAATTATCAAAAATTCGAAAAATTTCAAAAATCCGATTTTCTTAAAATTCAACATTTTTTTTTCTCTTTTATGGGATTTAGCTTCATTATTTTTGTGCTTTTGGAAAATACTTTACTTATTAAATTGTCTCGACTCTTTGGTAAAAAATCTAAAATTATCAAAAATTCGAAAAATTTTAAAAATCCGATTTTCTTAAAATTCAACATTTTTTCTTTTCTTTTATGGGATTTAGCTTCATTATTTTTGTGCTTTTGGAAAATACTTTACTTATTAAATTGTCTCGAATCTTTGGTAAAAAATCTAAAATTATCAAAAATTCGAAAAATTTCAAAAATCCGATTTTCTTAAAATTCAACATTTTTTCTTTTCTTTTATGGGATTTAGCTCAATTATTTTTGTGCTTTTGGAAAATACTTTACTTATTAAATTGTCTCGAATCTTTGGTAAAAAATCTAAAATTATCAAAAATTCGAAAAATTTCAAAAATCCGATTTTCTTAAAATTCAACATTTTTTTTTCTCTTTTATGGGATTTAGCTTCATTATTTTTGTGCTTTTGGAAAATACTTTACTTATTAAATTGTCTCGACTCTTTGGTAAAAAATCTAAAATTATCAAAAATTCGAAAAATTTTAAAAATCCGATTTTCTTAAAATTCAACATTTTTTCTTTTCTTTTATGGGATTTAGCTTCATTATTTTTGTGCTTTTGGAAAATACTTTACTTATTTAATAGTCTCCAACCTTTGGTAAAAAATCTAAAATTATCAAAAATTCGAAAAATTTCAAAAATCCGTTTTTCTTAAAATTGAACATTTTTTTCTCTCTTTTATGGGGTTTAGCTTGATTATTTTTGTGCTTTTGTAAAATTTTTTACTTATTTAATAGTCTCGACTCTTTGGTAAAAAATCTAAAATTATCAAAAATTCGAAAAATTTCAAAAATCTGATTTTCTTAAAATTCAACATTTTTTCTTCTCTTTTATGGGATTTAGCTTCATTATTTTTGTGCTTTTGGAAAATACTTTACTTATTAAATTGTCTCGAATCTTTGGTAAAAAATCTAAAATTATCAAAAATTCGAAAAATTTTAAAAATCCGATTTTCTTAAAATTCAACATTTTTTCTTTTCTTTTATGGGATTTAGCTTCATTATTTTTGTGCTTTTGGAAAATACTTTACTTATTAAATTGTCTCGAATCTTTGGTAAAAAATCTAAAATTATCGAAAATTCGAAAAATTTCAAAAATCCGATTTTCTTAAAATTCAACATTTTTTCTTTTCTTTTATGGGATTTAGCTTCATTATTTTTGTGCTTTTGGAAAATACTTTACTTATTAAATTGTCTCGAATCTTTGGTAAAAAATCTAAAATTATCAAAAATTCGAAAAATTTTAAAAATCCGATTTTCTTAAAATTCAACATTTTTTCTTCTCTTTTATACCATTTAGCTTTATTATTATTTTAATTTTTATTCAAGAGAAAAAATGGAAAACTGAAAAAATTTAGAATCTTTTAAAAAATCCAGGCCTTTTCCATGATTTCCCTGATTTCCAGAAGCCTTTTAAAAATTCCATACCATTTCCATGATTTCCAGATTCTGTAGGAACCCTGTTTTTGTCTGACTTTCTTCTAAATTATCGAATTCAGTGATTTCTGGGGTGAATTTGGTTAAGTTGTAAAATGATTAATTTCTATTTGAATTCGTTTTTCTTTAATGTAGAAAATCTGATGTTAATTTAATTCTTTTTTCGTTATGCACGGCAAAAAATATTTAGCTGGATGAACTACAGATTTCACTTTAGTAGCGAAATTTTTCAGTGCTTCAATTAATACTTTCGTTATTCTAGAGAAACTTATCGCTATTGCAAGTAAAACTTTTTTCAGTGTGTAATAATTATTATTTCTTTAAAAAGTATTTAATTTAAAATGGCTTTATAAAATAAGCAATGCAAAAGATGACCCAGATACTAATTGTAATTGTTCTAGCCATAGTTTAAGTCTAGTAATGTAAATTTTATTTAAATTGAGACCATTGAGTGAAATTATTTGAATTTTAGTTAGTTAAATCTCTTTGTTAGGTTATAATAATTATTTCTTTAAAATTTTTTAAATTGTTTAAAATAAGAAGCCCCATACAACATTCCCGCGCGCTTGCGCGCGGATAGTTTGGCTAGTAAGTTAATAATCCACAAGAAATAAAATCTACAAGTTAATAATTATCCATAAGAAATAAAATTTATAAGTTGGAAAAATTAAATAAAATAAATTAGTAGACAAATAAAATAAATAAAGTAAATAGATGAATAAAATAAATAAGAATGAGTAAATAATATTAATTGTAACAAATTAGAAATAAAATCTAAAAGTTAATAAAAAATAAATTTAAAAAAATAAATATAACTTAATAAAAAATAAAATTTATAAGATAATAATCTAAAAGAGAGAAAATAACAAAGACGGAAAAAACTCACAGAGCCAAAGAATGCGACTCGATAAAAACGACCCAATAGTCTCTTCCCACTGCGAGTGACTTCAACGACTTTATTGCACGATTGCGTTAAATGCGAATAGCAATTTGAAAGAGCTTCGTAATTTCGTTTCCTCTCGTACATGGGAATAATGAGTCGATAAAGAGGTCCAAGAACTTCGAAGCGTTCCGCTTTTTCCAACATTTCGGCACACAATTCCAATTGTTCCAAAAGTAAACTCTCATTATAGTGAATATCCTGCACACCTAGAGAGAGAAAAAGAATATTAAAATCAATTTCAAATTTTCACAAGTATTGCAACGATGTATGAAATGAAATTCTACGTAAAGCAAAATATTTTACTCCCTGTTAAAATAGAAAATTTTCTCACGATAAAGCAGAAGGAAAAAAAAGGGAAAAAGAAAAAATTTTGTCAAATGAGGGTGAAATAAAAAGCTGCAAAATAAACATTCACGACATACAACTCTCACCGGCATCGACCTTCAGTCCTCGCTCATCACGACTTATGTTCGTTGAAATTGTGTCAAAAGCCTCTGCACCCCATGTGTGAATTTTTTTCAATTTTAAATATTCTGCCATTAACGCTGCAATGTGCAATTGACAACAAGCCGCCTAAAAATTAATTTTTTTTATTATTTAAAATTCATTAATTCTACAAAAATGTCAACTTAATTATAAATTTTATGAGTAAATCATATCAATAACGCCGCAATTTACTGCCTAAAAATTCAGAATTGATAAATATTTATTTATTTTACAAATATTAATTTATTTTCCTATTGATAAATAATAATAATTTGTAACATTAAGTAGTTAATAAATAATTACATTGTAATAATAATCAAGATATTCTGTCCTCATGTAAAGTTAGGATTTTCTCAAATTCAAAAAAATCCTCATTCAAAATTATTTAAAATAATTCTTTCGAGAAATTTTATTAAAATTGTATTGAAAATAATTTAATTCGAGCAAAGAGTTTTATTATTTATAAAAAGAATCGAATTATTCTAAAAGAAAATTATTAAAATTGTACTAAAAATAATTTACTTCTTGGCAAGAATTTTATTAAAATTTTTGAAAATAATTTAATTGTTCTAAAGAATTTATTAGAATTTTTTTGAAAATAATGTTTTTTTTAATCATTTTTATTTGAAAATTTTGATAATAATTCAATTTTATGAAGAATTTCTTTTAAGTTTCTAAAATAATCGTGTTTATTTTTGATTGTAACTAGCTGTCGTACCCGTCTTCGAGGGGTTTTAGTTTCTACCAATACATTTAAGAATGTTTCTACCAATCTGGAAAATCAGAAAATAGCCGGGAATTTAATTTGACCGGAAAATTAATAATTAGTTACCATTAGCTATTTCAGTAGTATAATATTACTATTTCAATAGACTCCACCCTTTAGCAAAAAAACAAAATTAGCAAAAATTCAAAAAACCGAATTTCTTAAGATTCAACATTTTTCCTTCTTTTTTATGGCATTTAGCTTCATTATTTTTGTGCTCTTGGAAAATACTTTACTTATTTAATAGTCTCCACCCTTCGGTAAAAAATCTAAAACTATGGAAAATTAGCAAAAATTCAAAAAACCGAATTTCTTAAAATTCAACATTTTTCCTTCTTTTTTATGGCATTTAGCTTCATTATTTTTGTGCTCTTGGAAAATACTTTACTTATTTAATAGTCTCCACCTTTTGGTAAAAAATCAAATTTAACTCGAAGAATTTTATTAATTGTTGAAAATAATTGAAATATTGCTAAGAGTGTTTTATTGAGATTTTCAAAAATAATTGATTTTCTCAAAATAATTTTATTAAAATTTGTTCAAAGAATTAAATTTTTTGCGAAGAGTTTTATTGAAATCATTAAAAATAATTGAATTCTTCCGAGAAATTTTATTTAAATTCTATTTTAAAAATAATTGAATTTCTGTCAAGAAGTTTATTATTCTTGAAAATAATTGAATTCCTCCCGAATAATTAAAATTCTTTTTAGGAATTCAATTATTTTCAATAATATTTTAAATATATTTTTTCGATGAAAAATTGAATTCCTCCAAAGAATTTGATCAAAATTGCTGTTGTACTTAATAAGTAAATTTTAAAAATTTTGAATCCGACATTGTTGAAAAATTGATGCTTAATTGAAAACATAAAATTTTTTAATTTGAGAGAGTAAATACCTCAGAGTAATTTCCATCCCTGGCATGATTTCTAGCCATTGTTTCCAGCCAAGTGTGTCTTAATTCGGGTGTACTGGCATAAGAATTCGCCAGACTGTGTTGTAAATCGACCAACATTTCTGGATCATTATTGTGCTCTCTCATTTGTGCGGTCGCCATTAAAACTGTTCTTATTCTCTTATTTAAATCCTTCACCTCAACCGGAAAACCCGTACCCTTCATAACTTTATCGGACGATGCGTAACTATTAATTAGCGATAGTGATTCTTGAAATCTTGAATTGTTCAAGCCAATCACGTTGCCCAACATTTTTGATACGGAAATAATTACCTAGTAGAAAAGAAAAAAACGAAATTAGCAAGAAAAACAAATTTTTCCTTTATACTTAATTTCTGTTAATGTAATTAATTAATCAAGTAATCAATAATTAATTCTAAATTAATTAAATTTAAAAATTAAAACTATTGAAAAATTGGGAGACTAACTCCGCCTGAGATTGAAATACAGAAAATATTAAAATAAAACCAATTTATATAAATTAACCAAATGCAAATAAAAATTATATAATTTGTAGAATTGTTTCTACAAATTCTATTTTCTACTTTTTAAATAAAATTGCAAATACCTGTAAATGCACTCGAATTAATCCCTTCCTGCTGGTAAATTCAAAATTACTTCTCATGAGCAAGTAAAGTAAGGCACATGATTCTTGTCTTATCGAACTGAGTTTACTATTGCAGCATCTTAATAACTCGTAACACAGTCTTCCACACAAAACTGCATTGCCTGTAAATTCCAAATTTTTTAAAATAAAAATTCAACTAATAAATCAAAAGGATAAAATAAAAAATTATTGTAATACATTTTTTCTTTACATTTACTGTATAGAAAATAAATTATAATCACCTCGAAACAAAACGATGGAGTAATTATTTAAGAATGCACGAAGACCAGCGAAAACATGTCGAAAAAGTGTTTCCGATTGTCCCAGTTGGAGGAACAATAAGTAAATATTGAATACCCTCTGCATCACTGGATTACTACCATCATTAGAAAGTAGCACATCCTGAAAAAAGAATTAAGATTGAAAAACGAATTCTAGATAATAATTCTACTTTCTAAATTTAAATTAAATTAAATTTTAATGTTTAATTTAATTTAAATTTAAATTTAAATTTAAATTTTAAATTAATTAATTAATTGAAATTTAGTTATATTTATTATTTTCCTTTTTTCGTTTTGAATAATAGAAATCAACTTACTTTAAAATGTATACAAAATAGTCCTAGACAATCTAAAGTAATGAGTCCAACTTCAGTCGCAAGATTCGCTTCAAGTAATGCGTGATAACATTTGCCAGAATCATTTTCAACTAAATTCTCACGTGCAACCGTATTATGTGGTTGTAAAGTTCCAGTTGTTGGATTATCGTTTGAAAAATCAGGCGGTGCCATTCTCGCCGGCAATGTCATTGCTTTTGCCGCTCTCGGTTTTCCACCCTCTTTTACCGCGTTCGCGACAATTTGCCTCTTACCCACGTATCTAAAGTGCTGAAGACTCATTCTAAACAAAACCAAAAAGAATCCATTAAGTATATAGATAATAAAAGTAAGTAATTGTATTTGCAAAAAATAATAATAAATTATAATATCTCTATAATAAAGAAAACGGCTGAAAATTTAACATTTCATTATTAAAGTTTTTTTTTCTTGCTATGAATTTTACTACTTATATAAAAATAATTGATTTGTTTCGAAGAATTTATTAAAACTTTACACAATAATTGAATTTTTTCGACAAATATTATTAAACATTAAAAAAATTGAATGCTTTAATGAAATTATATTAAAATTGTGTTGCAAATAATTGAACTTTTGCAAAGAATTTTATTACAATTTTGGAACATAATTAAATTTATTTGAAGAACTTTTTTAAAATTTTTGGAAATAATTCAATTTTAGCGAAGAATTTTATTAAAATTGTATCAAAAATAAATTAAATCCTGCGGAGAATTTTATTATTAATTTATGCAAAAAAATTAATTCCTTCGAGGAATTTAATTAAAATAGTATTGAAAATAATTAAATTCTTTCAAGAAATTTCATCCAAATTTTTTATAGTAATTGAATTCCTTCGAAGAATATTGTTAAAATTGTTAAATATAATTAAATTAATTTAAAGACTTTCAATGAAATTTTTGAAAATAATTCAATTCTTATAAATTCAAAAATTTTCAAAATAATAGAACTTTGAAATGAATTTTATTAAAATTTTTTTAAATATTTAAATTCCATCCACGAATTTGATTAATTTTTGAAAATTATTTAAATCTTGATAATAATGTCATTGATATTTTTAAAAATAATTGAATTTTTTGCGAAGACTTTAATTAAAATAATTAAAAATAATTGAATTCTTGTACAAAAATAATTAAATTTTTTCAAGGATTTTAATTAAAATTCCAATAAAAAATTCTATTAATTTTTGAAAATAATTAAATTTATAAAAATATATTTTTATTAAAATTCGTGAAAATAATTGAATTTTTTGCGAAGAATTTTATTGAAATCATTAAAAACTAATTGGATTCTTTGGTGAATTTTTATTTAAATTGTATTTTAAAAATAATTGAATTCCTGCCTAGAATTGTATTATTACTTATAAAAATAATTGAATTGTTTTGAAGAATTTATTAAAATTTTTGAAAATAATTGAATTCTGTTGAAAAATTTTATAACGAATTAAGAAAAAAAATTAAATCCTTCGGGAAATTTTATTGAAAATAATTGAATTATTTCGAAGGATTTATTAAAATTTTATAAAATAATTGAATTCTTACGAAGAATGTTAATATTTATGAAAATAATTGAATTCTTGGTAGCGCGCGTATAATTTGCTAGTAAATAAATAATAAAAACGAAATTACAATAAATAATAAAGAAAGTAATAATAAATAAATAGTAGAAAACCGTAAAATATCCCAAAAAGCTACAGTAAATTAAAATGATTTAAAAAAATGTAATGATCAAAATACTTACTCGATGATAGTAAAGAAATTAAGTACTTCCGTGTCACTGCATTGTTGCCACCAGGCGATAATTTGATGATCGCCGAGATATTTGATAATAAATAGAAAACCAAGTAGAACATCTTTTACTTCGGATGGTTGTAATTTATCACATCTATTTGTCGATTGTGCGACACTCAACGATCTCGAGTGGCATTTATGTTCCTTGGTGCCATTTTCCAATGGTTCCCGAATTATTGTCGTCTCTTGTGAAATATTCGATTGCGATGCGCCCGACATTGTCGAAACATCAGATTCAATACTCGTACATGAATAGCCATTCACCATTGTTTGTCCAGCAATCGCTGCGAAATATGTCGAATCTCTCAAATGCATCGATGCCCTAATTGGTGATTGTGAATCCAAGTGCATTGTCAACCTAGACAAAAAAAATATTCTGTTTTAAATGAAATTTTCAATTTCATTTTAGTTGTAATTTTAATTTCGTTCCAACTTCAATTTAGTTTAAATTCCGTTTTAATTTTAATTTCATTTCAATTTGAATTCCATTTTAATTTGAATTCCATTTCAATTCTAATTTCATTTTGATTTTAATTTAATTTTAATTCTATTTCAATTTTAATTCCATTTTAATTCAATTTCAATTCTAATTCCGTTTTAATTTTAATTCCGTTTTAATTTTAATTCAATTTCAATTCTAATACCGTTTTAATTTTAATTCCATTTCAATTTTAATTCCGTTTTAATTTTAATTTTAATTCCATTTCAATTTTAATTCCATTTCAATTTTAATTCCATTTTAATTTAAATTTTCATTCCGTTTTAATTTTAATTCAATTTCAGTTTGATTATCATTTTAATTTACTTTACATTGAAATATATGCTTGGAATTTTCTTGAAAAAAATCTTGAAAAAAATTCATTTAAATTTAATTTTGACTTTAATAAATTTTAATAAATTAAAAAATATAAAAATTTTCAAATAACCTGTGAATGGATTTCGGTGTACTGGCAGCAGTCACATTATTGGCTTCCTTACTTGTCGAGAAGGAATTATTGATAGAGGCGCGATTCGAATTTTGTTTAACATCCGACTTTCCTTCGTTGAATTCAAGACGGTGAAGATTCTCCAAAACGATGCTTAACCATGGAATATAAAGGGAGGAAATTCTTCCCAATTGACCCTAGAAATATTTAATAATTAATATATTATTATTTTCTGTTATCGAGAAAGAGGAAATTGACAAAAATCGAGAAAGAAAAAAATTTTAACTGGTAAATTTTGATACCTTTTTTTTGCTTACCTTATTTTGATAGCGATCGTCCATTTCGTGCTTCGCTAATAAATCCCTTAAAGTGGCGATAGCAGTTTTTCGAACCTGAACAACTTCACAGAGAGAAGTTTTCACCTCTTGAAGTAAAAGTCCAACTAGGAAATGATGCTTACAAAAATCCTCCGTCAAACAATATTCATTCAGAAGATCTGTAAAATAACCTTAGTAAATCATCTCATTAATAAATTTGTTTCCAATTTCTCGAAATTTTCTAAAAATAAAGAGTAAAAGACAAGAAAAGACAAAATCAACAAGCATAATAATATGACATATTTGACTTTTAAAATAAAAGTGATCAGCATAACAACAAAATTTGTGACTCTTTCATTGCTAAAAGGAACTATTACAATTGCATGAAAAAAATTACAAATTCTCCCCTAAAGCTTGCTATAAATAAATCTAAATTTCTAAAACTTATAAATTTTTAAGACAAAAATTTTAAAATTCAAAAATAATTTAAATTACAATTTGAATTAAAATTAATTTTTCCAAAAAAAGTTGTTTTTTTCTTTAATCAGTAAAATTCTATTCAGATCTATACACTAAGTAATAAATAAGAATAAGAAAACATTCCAATTGGAGTTTTCAGGCAGGAATTGAAAATAGAAGGAAAAATATATGTGGTGTGAAAAAAATAAAACTTGTGCGCAAACTCCCACTCACTATGGCTACAATTAAAAACCACAATAAAGATGGGAGTATATGAACGTTAATTTTCTCACATACCATCACAATCTGGTTCTGTCTCTGTCTCTTCGGAGCCAGGCATAAAATTAATTACGTTTACATCACCGAAATTGAAAAAATTAAATAAAGAGATGAAAAAAAAATTCTACTTTAGCTAAATAAATATTAAATTTTCTTTTTTTAATATTTATTTATTACTATTCATTAATATTTAATAGTATTTATTCATTAATATTTGTTAGTATTTATTAATGTTTAATACTATTTATTATTATTCATTTGTAATTTATTAACTATTTATTTATTAAATGTATTAAATGTATGAAATAGGTTTATTAAATACTCACCACGTGATGTTATTCGCGAATGCATCATTGGCAAATTGAATGACACAAAATGCTCATGTGAACAAATCACTTGGAGAAAGGAGAATTTAAAATCGTGAAGTGTTCTTGAATCACCGGGTGCAAAATTGTCCATGTAGGAATTTATCAGTCGGAACACAAAACCTCTGTCCATAAAAGTTAAACACCTCTGCGAAAAAAAATAAAATTTCCAATCAATTACATTTTGTATTCCACTTCAATTGAATTTTTAAAAATGTCAATAAAATTCGTGACAGCAATTCAATTATTTTCAAAAATTTTAATAAATATTCTTGAAACAATTCAAATTATTTTCATAAATAATAAAATTCTTCGCAAGAATTCAATTATTTTTATTAATAATAAAATTCTTCGCGAGAATATTCAATTATTTTTAATACAATTTAAATAACATTTCTGAAAAGAATTCAACTAATTTTAATGTTTTTATAGAAATTTAACGTCGGAGAATAATTTAATTATTAATAAAAACGACACATTCAAAAATTGATAAAATTCTTTATAATAATTGAATTATTTTCTATACAAATTTAATAAAATTCCTAGAAAAATTCAATTATTTTTGTAAATAATAAAATTCTTGGCATAAATTAAATTATTTTTAAAATACAATTGAAATAAAATTTCTGTAAATAATTCAATTATTTCTAATGATTTTAATAAAATTCTTTGCAAAAAATCCAATTTTTTTTACAAATTAGAATAAAATTCTTTTGAGAAACACAATTATTTTTTGAAAATTTCAATGAAATTCTTAGCAAGATTTCAATTAATTTCAAAAATTTTAATAAAATTCTTCTAAAAAATTTAATTAATTCCAAAAATTACAATAAATTTTCTTGAAATAATTCAAAGTATTTTTAAAAATGATAAAATTCTTCGATGAAATTGAATTATTTTCAAAAATGAAATTATTTTAGATTCAAAATTATAGAAGTTACGAAAATTAAAATTTTCTTAAACTATTTTATTAATGAATTTAAAATTCAATTTAATTTTAAATTAAAACTCAAAAATAGATAACAATTCACTATTTCATAAATTAAATTGAAATTCAATTTAATTTTTGTAGGTAGTTTAATTCAAAGTTTAATTTTAATTTAAATTTAATTTAAAATCGATTTAAATTTAATTTAAATTCGATTTAATTTTTATTTAAATTCGACTTAATTTTAATTTAAATTTGCTTTAACTTTAATTTTAATTTAACTTAATTTTAATTTATTACACAAATTAATTTGTACAATACCTTCAAAAAATGCGCAAGACTTTTATTCAGCTCGTGAGTTTCCACTGGCATTTCTTTATATTTATTCATCAAATAAGGCATGACGACTTCCAAAAGATTTTTGATCTTCTCATGATATTCCTTCGAGAATCTTTCGTTTCTGTGCATCTAAAAATAAATCAATAAAATCTCTCAACAATTTTTCATCTCAATTTTCCTTTTAATTTCATATTTTTGTAATAGAAATTTTAATTTAAATTCAGATTTTTTACAAGACACTCACCTTTATTCTTTCGGTCGTTAATAAATGTTGAGCCATACTTTTAACCATAATTTCAAAAAAGAAACCCGAATGGTGCAAGAATTTATTAACAACGAGAAAATCCGTGTTGCTCGGTTGCAGTAATGTTGGCAAATGTCTTCCCAATTGTTCATGCACTGTTGGATTACCATTTACTTTTGCCGGCGAGACGAAAACGAACTGTAAAAAGAAAATTTACTGTTTTTCTTTTGTAAATAAAAAAATTTTTTAATATTTATTTAAAATGACAGATTTTTTTAGTTAAAAAAATTTCAAGTATAGAAAAAAAGTGAGATTTTTCTTTTAGATACAAAAAAAATATTTCTAATATAGAAAAATTTTAAGTACAGAGAAAAAATTGAAGATTTTTCCTTCAGATAAAAAAAAATTTCAAATATAGAAAGAAAGCTATTTTTTCTCACAAATGAAAAAGAATTTTAAGTACAGAAAAAACTTGGTGATTAAATACCTTAACGTAAGCTTGTAAAATTTCTTTACGACCCGCCTCGTGTACCATATTTATGATATGTACCAAGAGTCGTATAATGCAGAGACCAATTTCATCGCTAACATTGCACGTTAATAAGGCAAAGAGTTGATTTAAAATTGTCGGTAAAAATGTAATGACAGTAACTAATTGTATAGCGTGAGCTGCTTTTAAAATTTTACATGTTTCCGAATCAGATGGCAATGCCGATGGTTTTGTTTCTAATATTCTCTCGGCGTGTGCAAACAGATTGTGTAAATGTGCATCCCTCGTAAATACAGTTGAATTCAATTGAAAGCCAACAGTAAAAATTGGACGCTGCGAATCGATCCACGTTATTTCCGGACCAGCATTCTATATACGAGAGGAAAATAAAATCTTTTATTATACGAATTTCTTTCATTTTTATTTTCAATAAAAGAGAAAAAACATATTTTTTCGATTGTTAAAATTTTATTTCTTTTGATAGAAAATAGTAAATAAAATAAATCAGGCCTCGGATTGACTTCAAGGCGAAAAAAAAACACTTTAGTTTCTTTTTTCAAGAAAAGTCGAAAAGGTCGTTTCTCGAAGAATTTTAATTCCAAATTTTTAAAATAATTTCATACAATTCTTCAAAACAATCCAATTACTTTAGATTAAAAGAATTTAATAGAATTTTTCGCGAAAATTCAATTATTTTCATAAATAAAATAATTCTTCACAAGAAATCAATTATTTTCTATATACAAAAATATAATTCTTCACAGAAAAATTTTTTCTATTCAATTTAAATGAAATTTCGGGGAAGAATTCAATTATTTTCAAAAGTAATAAAATTCTGCATAAAAATTCAATTTTGTTCAAAAATTTAAAAAAATTTTCGTCAAAATTTCAATTATTTTCACGAATAATAAAATTCTTTTCAAGAATTCAATTATTTTCAAAAATTTTGATTAAATTCTTCTCAAGAATTCAATTATTTTCAAAATTTTTATTAAATTCTTCTCAAGAATTCAATTAACTTTCCAAAATTTTGATAAAATTAACTGAATTCTTCGAAAGCTCTCAATTTTTTATTTCTAAAGTTCTTAACAAAATTCTTTAAAACAATTCAATTCTTTTTAAAAATTTTAATAAATTTCTATGCAACCATTAAAATTATTTTTACAAATTTTAATAAATTCTCTTGAAACAATTCAAATTATTTTCATAAATAATAAAATTCTTCCTTGAAATTCAATAATTTCCCAAAAGTTTTAATAAAATTCTTCACATAACTGATGAAAGAAAGAAAGAAAGAAAAGAAGAAAACGCTTACTCTTACCCCTTTCCCAAGACCAAGAGGTTGAATAGAAAGATAACCACTAGGCAAATGTGTTGCGACTGGTAAAAGTTGAGCGCTACTTTCAGTGTCAATGTTAAGTCTGCAAAAATAAAAGTTTTAATTAATATTGTAAATAATTTAAATTATAAAACGAAATAAATCTTAATTCCAAAAAACTTGTTTTCATGATGAGAAATATATTTCAAAAAATAATTTTCATCATTATTATTATTATTATTATTATTATTTTATATTATTACTATTATTATTATTATTTTTATTATAATTCTTCTTTGAGAACTGACCTTCCTTTATGAAGTAAAGGAAGCCAGGAATATCCAACGCAGTTTTCAATGCCATTTTCCTTCTTTTTATTCATGTCGCAACTTATATGATAAAACGAGAAAAGAAGATGATGCTTCGAGTGAAGCTTTGTTGGTAATCTGAGTTTTATTTCCTCATACCAAGAAGGCACCGAATTGTGATGTAAAACCGCGCACGATGCTCGTAGACATAAAAGAGGTCCATCTGGTCGTCCGTAAATACACTGGAAGAAAAAAGAAACATTTTATTCACAAATTTTTATTTTCTGATCCTTCTTTACTTTTGTTTATTTATTCTTTATCCACATAATCATTATTATTTATTTATTTATCAACGGGGGAGAAATAAATAATAATTTTTATTATTATTACATTGTAAATAATTCTAGACAGAAGAATTCAAATTTCTATGGTTGTAATTTTTTAAAAATACAAACTTTACTCCTTCTTCAAATCTTTTAAACTTCTACATAATTAAAGAAAAAGGAAAACAAGAGATAAAATCTTGCAAAAACTTGAAAATGAAAATTATAAATGAAAATTGAAAGTGAAAATAGAAATTGAAAGTGAAAATTGAAATTAAAAATGAAAATTGAGATTGAAAATGAAAATTGAATTTAAAGTTGAAAATTAAATTGAAATATTGAATTGAAAAATGAAATAGAAAGAAATTGACATACTCTTAAAGGCTCGGCATTTTCATTGTCATCTTCTCTTAATTCAACGATACAGGCAATATTTCTGGCTCTCGTGAAAATTTTCTGTGAATCGAAGCAAAGACTCTGGGGATAGACATAAAGATGATTGACAAATGTCGTGTACGGATGAATTTCCTTTTCCGACGAACTTTCAAACTCAGCGATTTCAAATGTTGGATCAGATGTCGGCGGAAGAGGAAAAGGTTTCAACATTGACAAACTAGTCGTTAAGCTATCTGTAAATAAAAAATAAAACGAAAATAATTACTAAAAAGTTTAGTAAAACATTTTTCAAATTATTTAGAAATAGAAAAACTCACTTTCAGGAATATCTGACAGAGCTTCAATTTTTATTTTCAACCATCCTGGAATGACTGTCAACTTGTTGAGTTTCTCAGGTCTGAAACAATTTTTAAATTTGCAAATTTAATACTTTTGTAGCTTTTTTCCTAAAATAACTGCAAATAAATAAAAAAAATATATTATTCACTTATTTACTTGCTTTGAAAAAAAATTAACAATTGTACAACTTTTCTTCGAAAAGAAACAAAAATATTTATTTTGTACTTTTTTAAACCTAATTATTTTCTACATTCATTCAAGATTATAATTATTTTTTGTATTTTTATTATTATCATTTAATTTTTTACTATTTCAATAGCATTTTCACGAAAGAAAATTGAAAGAATTCAATTATTTTCAAAAATTTTGATAAAATTCTTTGTAAGAATTTATTTATTTTCAACACAATTTTAATTCAATTTCTCTAAAAATTTAAATTATTTACAAAAGTTTTAATAAATAGCTTGAAAACAATTTAAAAAATAATTCTATTCTTTAAAGTATTTCAATGATTTTTAAAAATTTTGATAAAAATCTTTGTAACATTGTATTTATTTTTAGTAAAAATTTTAATTCAATTGCTGAAATTTTTTTAACTATTTACAAAAGTTTAAATAAAAGTTTTAAAAAGAAGTCAACATTTAATTTGAAAATAATTCAATTCTTTAATTAATTTAATTATTTGCCAAAATTTTAATAAAAGTCATAAAACCCATTAAAAAAATTCGATTATTTTCGAAAATTTCAATAAATTTCTTAGCAGGATTTCAATTATTTTCCAATATGTAGAAATAAAATTCTTAGCAAACACTTAATTATTATCGTAAATTAAAAAAAATTTCTTAGCAATAGTTCAATTATTTTTAAAATTTAATAAATTTTTTACTGGAATTTTAATAAAACTCTTGGCAAAAATTTAACTAAATACTTACTAAAAATTTAATTATTTTGAAAATTATTTAATTCTACGCCGGAATTCAATTATTTATGAAAATTTTAATAAAATTCTTAGCAAGCTTTGTAATTATTTAATAATTCTTTGAAAAAGTTTTATTATTTTGAAAAATTTTAGTAAAATTCTTCGAAACCATTTAATTATTATCACAAAATCCAACTAAAAACTTTGAAAAAATTTAATTATTTGCATAAACAATAAAATTGATCGCAAAAAAGTCAATTATTTTTAATTCAAATTTTATAAAAATTTTCGAAAAAAAATTCAATTTCTTTAAAAAATTTTAATAAAATTCTTTATTGAGAATTGAATTAAATTATTTTCGAAAGTTTTAATAAAATTCTTCGCAGAAATTTAATTATTTTTAGAAATTTTAATAAAATTCTTTATTGAGAATTGAATTCAATTATTTATAAAAGTTTTAATAAAATTCTTAAGAAGATTTCAAGTATTTTCATAAATAATAAAATTTCTTTTCAAGAATATTCAATTAGTTTTTAGAAATTTTAATAAAATTCTTTGAGAATTGAATTCAATTATTTATGAAAGTTTTAATAAAATTCTTAAGAAGATTTCAAGTATTTTCATAAATAATAAAATTTCTTTTCAAGAATATTCAATTAGTTTTTATACCTACAATTTAAATAAAATTTCCCAAAAGAATTCAATTATTTTTAATGATTTCAATAAAGTTCTTCGCAAAAAATTCAATTATTTTCAAAATTTTTAAATAATTATTTTCAATAAAGAATACAGAAAATTCTCCAAAGAAGTAATTTTTTTCTAAAAATGTTTATAAAATTCTTTATACAATTTTTAATTGAATTTCTCGAAAGAATTTATTTATTTTCAAAAATTTCAATAATATTCCACGTAGGATTTTAATTACCTCAGATTCAAAATGATGATAATTAAAAATTAGAATTTCTTTAATTTCAGAATTTAAAACATTCGCTGAGAAAAATCACCAAGAAAATAAAGTATTAATTGTTTTTCTTACTTTCTATATTCGGAGAGCAATTTCAATAACTCATCGTCCTTGATTTTATTTCCCTCTTGTCGATAAATAGCCGGAAAATCAGACGAAGTATCCAATTCGTTGCTGTATAATCTAAATAAAGGTCGCGCCGACCATGCAAACGGCATTCTATAATTTCCCAATCTAAAATAATCAAAGTAAATTAAAAATTTTCGAAAATTAACAAAACGGAAGTTTTAAAGTGAAGAATAATTTCAATTATTCAATTCCTTATTATTCAAATTAATTTTGATAAAGAAAAAATAATAACCTTTGACAACAGGCTTTAACTTGTTTATGAATTTTGAGACCAAGCCGTGGATCTTTAGTGGCACGTAAATATGGCTCAGAAGTCTGATATATACTTCCTTGTAAAATTTTATCAATTCTCACAACGAGAAATATTTCCGGATGTGGATTATTGATATTAAAAATAGCCTGTTTTGCGAATCGTGTCCAATCCGATGGTATTGTTGACAAATCATCGGGTAATTGAATATTTTTCGACAATTCCGTCATTACACTCGTTGGACTCAGTTCCTTGACAAAATCGCGTACAATTTCGTGATTTATTTCAAAATGAAAATTCTCGCTCAATTTTCTACCGTTTCTAGCGTCAAATAAACACAGAGTTGTATAATAAGGTTCAACTTGACACAGAGCGGCAGTCTCATCGATTTGCGCTTGTAAACGAAATTTAAGACTTTCGCATTTAACGAAAATTCTCTGACCAAATTGCTCCTTGTACGAGTCAATATTCTGCTCGTTGGAAAAATTAATCGTCGATTTCGCCTGCGCCACTTGGGGATAGAGATTCAATAATCGTTTACGATTCTCACGTCTCGCTAGGGCAATACTCGTGTCCGTTTCACGGGCATATTTTATTAATTGTGGATTCATACTTTGTTCGAGACCCTTTAATGTGCCGTAGACTTGCATTGGTTGAGGGGATGGCGGTGGTGTATTGCAAGTTCTTTCCAATGAGGCGGCACGTTTTTCCTCCTGTTGTTTGTAGTGTTGCAAAACTGATACCAATTTTGCGAGCCAATCTTGTAATTCACATTCATTGTCGGCGGCGAGTGTGTAAGATTTATGATCGGCACTCATTCTCAGCTCGAAACAATAACGTCCTCGTTTTGGATTTCTCACGACCTCAGCGCAAAAGTCCATGACAATCGATAATTTAGCTTCGCCTTTCTTTTCATCTTTAAACATCTCGAGAATATAAGTGCCATCGACTTCCTGTCTCAAGTGACAGAAGCGACGCTTAAAAGACTTTGAACCAATATGCGCAAACATTCGATCACTGCTTCCAATTTCCGGGCCCTTCATCAGATATCCCTGTTTCGCTATGCCATCGTTTTTCGTTATCACCTAAAATAGAACCAGTAGATAACATTTTTTCTTCTTTTCAATTATTCTTAGATATTCTTATTTTTAGATTTTCTTGACTTTCGTAAATATTTCGAATTATTAAAAGTAAAAAAGAAAGAAAAGAAGAAAAGAGAAAAAAGTAGAAAGAAAGACAGAAAGAAAGGAAGAAAGAAAGACAGAATTCTTTTTCGAAAGAAAATAAATAAAAAAGATAGAAAGAAAGAAAAAAAGAAATTACGTTTAAATATTTTCAAAAATAATTTTATACGATCATATTGGTAGTCACGGAAAAAATTAATTTTTACGAAATGAATGAGGGGAACAAAATTATTTTCTATACCTCATCAACTTGATCGATTTCCGTATCAATTTCATAGACTTCGTCCTTTAAATCATCTGCTTTTGATATTCTGAAAAATGGAGAAATTTTTGGTGTTTTTAGGAAAGGAAATTTAAAAAAGATTTAAAATTTAAAAAAAAAGAGAAAAGTTTTTTCGATTAGAAACGTGAGTCATACTTTGGCAATTCGAGATAAGAGCCACTGTAGACGGAATATTTGTAGTGCACTAAATTCCAGTTCGATGCATAACTGCGTTTACATTCTTTTGTCAAGAGATTTTCTTGATCATCCTCGGAATCGGATATGCGTTGCACAGTGGGCACGACTGTTCGATATCTTCTCGGTAAAACAACTTGCTGTAAAAAAAAACATCAAAATCTTCAAAATAAATTTACCAATCAACTTCAATAAATAAATTTCCAAACTAGTTTCAATAAATAAATATCTAAATTAACTTCAATAAATTTCTAAATAAAGTTCCATAAATTAATTCCTATAAATAAACTTCCAAATAAATTTTCATAAATAAAATTCGAAACAAAATTTCAAATTAATTTCAATAAATAAATTTCCAAAAAAATTTCAATAAATTAATTGCCGTAATGGTAATGAAAAAAGAAAATTCCAAAATAATTTTCATAAATAAATTTCATTAAAGAAATTTCAAAATAAATTTCAAAATAAATATCTATAAATGAATTGCCATAATAAATAAATTTCCAAATCAATTTCAAAATAAATTTCAATATTTAATTATAAAAAGAAATTTTAATAAAGAAATTTCCAAATAAAGATTAATTTAACTTTCTCCCCCTGATTTCAGGACCGAAGTTTTATTTTTTCCCCGACCCAAAAGAATATTTTAATTTGTTATTAAAACGATTAGATAGGCGAGAAAATATTTCTAATGAATTTATTTCTAAATATCTTCAATAATTGTAAATTTATTCGAAACATCAATAATTTACTTTTTTTTAAATAAATATTTAATTATAATTATTATTACTAGCAAATGTGACGCTCGTTAGCTCGTGAAACGCGGTATTTCCATAATTATTATTATTATTATATGCAAATTACAAAATTTCTTATTTTAAATGTCAACATCAATTTTTGAATAATTTTACATTCAAAATTATTTAAAATTTCCCAAATTAACCAATTCAATTCAATTATTTTTAAAAATGTTAAAATTCTTAGCAAGAATTCAATTATTATTTCCATTAAAGTAATAAAATTCTTCACGGAAATTCAATTATTCTCAAAAATTTTAACAAAAATCATTAAAATAATTCAATTATTTTTCAAAATGTTTAAAATAATCTTCGAAAGAATTCAATTATTATTAAAAATTAGGATAAAATTTCTAGAAAACATTCAACTACTTTCATAAGTAATAAAATTCTTCGCAAAAATTAAATTATTTTTAAAAATAACAAAATTCTTCTTAAAAATTCAAGTATTTTTAAAAAAAATTAAAATCTTATCAAGAATTCAATTATTTTCGAAAATTTCAATAAAAGTTATTAAAATAATTCAATTATTTATATAAATAATAAAATTCTTCGCAGAAATTCAATTATTTAAAAACAATTTCAATAAAATTCTTTAAAATAATTGAATTATTTTCAATATATAATTTTAATTAAATTCCTCGAAATATTTTAATTATTTAAAAAAAATTGAATAAAATTCGATGCAATAATTAAATTATTTTTATAAGTAATACAATTTTTTAGGTTTTCAAGGGTTTTCAATTATTTTTAATATAATTTAAAAAAATTTTTTTGAAACAATATTCAATTATTTTCAAAAAGTTATTATTTTTAATTTTGTGAATTTCAATTATTTGACAGAAATAGAAAAAAAATTAAGGTTTTGTATTAAAATTGTAACGATTTCAAAAATTTACAGGGTGAACAAAAAAGAATTCGAGGAATTTGTTGTTTCTAATACATATTTTAAAAAAACACCAAAAAGCAATTTTATTTTTATTTTCTAGAACTTTTATACTTTTGATAAAATTTCCTAATTTCCTTCTCCAATTTTTCTATTCCTAATTTTTTTCTGATTTCCCCTATCTATGAGAATCCTGATAAATAAATAAATTTTAAAAATAATTGAAATAATTCATTTTAAATCCTGATTAATAAATTTGAAAAATAAATTTCAATAAATTTATTTTCTACTGAAAGAAAATTGGAAAAAAAAGAAAACTTACCGATACATCGTCTTGAGGGTACAATAATAATTCACGTTGTGGATCATTTTGTAATAATGTCTTATTTTTTAGCACAAAATTCTCGAAGTCAATCGGTTCAACAAGATGTGGCTTATTCTGAAAGAAAAATTCCAAAGATAAATAAAATATCGAAGAATAGCAGGAAATATTAATTAACGTGCCAATTCATATATCTAGCATTAATTAAAATTCATTATAGATAAATAACTTATAAATAGCTTCTTCATTAAATTATAATTACTATAATTACGAGAAAAAGTTCTATAATTAGTAACAAAAATGATTTATTATCTGAAAAATTAATACGAAAACTAAAAATATTAATTAAAAATTTACTATGCTAAATATTTTCCCTAAAAATAATAAATATGTATAGAAAGAAAAATGTGATAATTCACTATCTAAACATTGACATCATCTATGTTTATATTGACCTCGAACTTTGTTCTTTTTTTATATTATAACAAAACACATAAAATCTTCGCATTTAAATAATGTTTTTCCAAACAATATCAACAGGAAATTTGTTAAAATAGATTGACCCAATTCGTTCCCATTTTTATTACCCAATTTATCTATAATTAAACCGCACTCATGCATTCAATTTGCCAAACATAGGAAAACTTGTCGATAATAAACAATTATTATCAAAGATTTTTAAATTAAAATTACTCTAAAATTGAATTTTCTGCTAATTGAAATTTATACTTAGACAGTTAAATATTATTTCATAAATTTATGTTTAAATTTACACTACTAATTGAATTTTATAATCAAATTCTTTTCTTATAATTCTTTATCGCATAAATATTTGAGGTCGAGGACCAGATAATTTGCGGTACAGATTAATTGACAGACGGGTATTTTTTAAATAAAGAAAAATGAGGAGAAAAAAATAATTTTTTTGCTTGATTATAATAAACTATTTTTTTGTCTTTTAGTTAATGAAAAAGGGGTAAACTAAAAGTTTTTTTAGGATGTAAATAAGAAAAAAAAAGGTGTTTCACCTGCACAGTACTCTCGCGAACAACTTGCGAGACAGTTTCCCTGAGTTGAGCAGCCATGCCAGGCTTTCCCAGGCCTCTTGTAAATTTTCTCTCACTCATTATTCACGATGACACATTAACATCGTCACCTGGAACTAAACACAAGAGCCGGGCTCATCACCTTTAAAAAGAGACACTCAAGAATTTCTCGCGGCTGCCATGTTTATGCGTCCACTATCATGCCGCACACACACACATTTATATATTTCTTTCATATACAAAATTGACACTCGCACGTTTTTATTCAATCAACAAACAAAAAAAAACGATAATTCGAAAAAACCTTGGGGAAAAATTGAAAATTGCGAATATGTCGCGACTTTTTTTTTATTGCGCATCGCACTATATCCACGTCGGCTTAATTTCCGGGTCGTTAATCATGTGAATGATTGAAGATAAAAAAAGAGAGGTTAATATAATGAGTATAGGGGAATTGACCTGCCCATCCCGAAAACAAGTGCATTCGAGGAGGCACTGACATTTCGTCGCGCAAGGTGCGTCATTAATCTCCCGTATATTACATCATTCTAAATTTAGATAATTAAAACTGTAAGAGGGAGAGAAACGCCGAATTCTCTCTATTTTATACTCAAAGAGCCTCAAGAGAGTCGAGATTTCTTATTTTGAGCCATGAAATCAAAACATTCGGGCATGCGCTCCGAAATTTTGCCTTAGAAAAAAAAAGTCGGGGAAATATTCCCAATATAGCGAAATTCAAAGATTCGAAATCTTCGAAATTCGCAAAATTCTATTCGAAAACTAAAAGATACTTAAAATACTAATGAAAATTACTATATTTTACCAAATTTTTACTCAAGTTTAGTTAAATTGAAGAAGTAATTATGTGAAATCAATTATCATTACTTTTTTTTTAGAAAAAAACATACTTGACATTTTGGCCCTTTAACATAACCTCAAATTCGACTATTTATTCTTGATCATATCTTGTCGTGTATGTTTCGTTTACTTAGTTATAAAATATATTTTCCAACAAATGTGCATTACTTTTATCACATAAAATAAAATTTTTGTGGTATTTATGTTTTATATTTCGAGAAAATTGATATTTTTTGGAGACTGAACGGGAATATAAAAATACGAAAAATACTGAGGCATAAAGGTACGTTCACAGCGCTATTGTTTGAAAATTCAATGACCAATCAGAGGTGGCGGGACGCAGTGTTGCCAATCGGAAATTTAAAAAGGCAAAATTTGAAAAATAATAAATAATTTTTCAATTCCATTATTTTAATTATGCAATAATTAATAACAATAATAATAATAAAATATTATTTTATTAGTGTTTATTATTTTCTAAAATTAAAACACAATTCTTTGAAATAATTAAAAAAATTTCAAATAACTTTACTAAAATGCTTTAAAAAACAATTAAATATTAACAAAAATAATAAAATTCAACAAAAAAATCAATTATTTTGAAAAATTTTAATAAAATTCTTTATTGAGAATTGAAATATTTTTAATAATATAATTTCAATTAAATTCCTCGAAAAATCCAATTCTTTTTGAAAAAATTTTTAAATTTCTCAGGAAGATTTCAATTATATTTTCAAAAATTAATAAAATTCTTTGTTGGAATTCAATTATTTTAAAAAATTTAATAAAATTCTTCGCAAAAATTCGATTGAAAAAAAATTTTAATTATGAAATTCTTTATGAGAAAAACATTTAATTACTTTGAAAAAATTTTAATATTTTAATAATTATTCAATTATTTTGGAAAATTTTGATAAAATTCTTTATAAGAATTGAATTATTTTCTATACGACTTTTATTAAATTCTTGGAAAAAATTTAATTATTTTCAACAATTAATAAAATTCTTCGCTGGAATTCAATTATTTTCGAAAATTTTAATAAAACTTTTAATTCTTTATAAGAAAAAAATATTGTTACATTTATTAAAAAATATTTTTTATTAAATTCTTCTTGTTTACAAACTTAAAAATCTCTAAAAATATTAAAATTATTTTACAATACTCTTTTAATACTATTATGAGGGAATAAATTAATATAAAAAAATATATACTTATAAAATTATGAACATGTGTTTTTAATAATTTTGTAAAAATATTTATTTACTATTTTACTTTAATGTTTATAAACTTTCTATTTAATGTAATTAACTCAAAAAAATCGTTAACTAAAAATCGTATTTAATCTCTTTTGTGATAAAATTAAACTTAAAAATATTTAACATTAATAAAATTTCATACAATTGCAAAGAGTAATCAATTATTATAATTTCTTCTAAAAACAATTACTTCCCTTCTTTTCGTAAATTAAAATTTTTTCTTTCAAATAAATTAAAATTATTCTTTCTTTCGAAATCTCAAAAATTTGATTTCTGGAATTTTATTTTTTATTATACTTTTTTATTTAATGTCCTTTCTTTCTTGATTTTAAAATAAAAATATCATCAGAACTATCCGAAAATGTAATAAATGTCGAATTATTAAAATCTTCTTTTATTTTTGTCTTCACTGATGATCCTCCTGTCAAATTCGATAAAATCTTCTTTTCGTTGTCGTTATTTTTTTCAGAAGTTATTCGATTTTTTTTCAAATCTAAATGGAAAATATCACTATCATCATCGCTATCTGAAAAAAATTTCCAACTATGTTTCTTTTTTATAATTTTTGTTTCACTGGAATTTTCCTGTTTCGAATTTAATATTTTCTTCTCTTTAACTTTTTTCGTATTTACACTGAAGTTTGAATTATTTTTGTTGTCTTCAATTTTTGTCTCATTTGAATTTAATAAAATTTTTTCTTTATTCATGCTGCAATTTTTTTTCGGTCTTAAATTAAAAATATCACTATTCGAAGAAGTTTCGTTAAAATCCGTCTCAAATCGATTGCTATTGTGTTGATTATTCAAATTATTTATTTTTCTCTTCACTAAATTTTTATTTTCATCACTTTTATTATTTTTCCCATTCTTTATTAAACTACGATTGTTCCTAGAGAACCGAAAGTCTTTTGCTTCATCTTCGTCGTCAGATGAAAGGGAATGTAAAATTTTTGATAAATTTCTGTTATTCTTTCTGAATTTACATCTAATTATATTTTCACTTTCCTCACTGTCGGAAATAAATTTTTGTTTTGAATTAGAACGAAAATTATATTTACTCTCCTTATTGTTTGTTTCGAAAATATCTTCCAATTCACTCTCTTCACTGCTGGAAATAAATTTTTCTTTTGAATTAAAACGAAATTTTTGTCCCTCGTTGTTCATTTTTTCTTCTATTTTATCATGTGTTTCGAAAATATCTTCAAATTCACTATCTTCACTGCTGGAAATAAATTTTTGTTTTGAATTAGAACGAAAATTAAATTTACTCTCCTCATTGTTTGTTTCTTTTATTTTATTATCTGTTTCGAAAATATTTTCAAATTCACTTTCTTCACTGTTGGAAATAAATTTTTGTCTTGAATTTTCTTCTTTGGAATTAGAAGGAAAATTTTTAGAATTTTCTTCTTTTAAATTAGAATGAAAATTAAATTTCTTCCCCTCGTTATTAATTTCTGTTTGTCTAGTTGTACGAAAAATAGTAGTCATATCAAATTCTTCGTCTGAATCAAATGCAAAAATACTCGTAAAGTTTTTCTTGACAATCTTCACGTGATTTGTTGAAATTTTTCCCTTTTCCGATTCTTCACTACTGTCTGACGGTTCAAAAATAGTTTTTCTCTTGGAAAAAATTAGAGAACTTGTCGATTCTGATAAAATTTCCTGTTCTGATGAATTAGTCGTAGTTTTTTCCAATTTTTCAAAATCAATTTCCGCCTCTAATTCCGTTGACTTGACGTTTTCCTTATTTTTCGAGAATTTCACATCAGTAAGTAAATTTCGCTTTGAAGTTAATACAGAACTTTCGTTAGTAGTAAATTTTCTAATTTCAAGTTCTCGTTTCTCTTCTTTTTCCCCTATGGGAAATTTATTTGAAATTTCCAGTTTTTTATCTCTAGCGGTAATTTTTCCTTTCTTCGAAAAACACTTTTGAATTAGTGAATTTTCCTTCTCATGATTCCTCAGATTTTTTTGAGAATTCTCTGACATTCTACTTTTCTTAAATTCTTTCGGTTCGTCATGAATAAAAATTAAATTTTCGTCTGGAACTGCCTTATTTTTTTTAATACTTGTCGCAATTTTTTTCTTGTAAAAAGATCTCTTTCTCCAGGTTTGCATCTTTTTTTCAGAAGGCGAATAATCGAGGGCAGGATGTGAAAAAGAGTTGTTAGTTAAAGAATGGGATTTTTTAAATATTTTCTTAGGACTTGAATATTGAGGCCATTCCTTGGGAGATTCAGAATTTGTGAATAATTTTCTTCGATGATTCTTTTTTATCGACCCCTTATCGTTGGTCTTGAGTGTGAATAAATCTTTCATTTCCTCAGAAGTCGACTTTTCCGGGGACAATTCAGAAATTTTTTTTAAAGGAATAAAGTCTTTAATTTTCGAGTTCTTTGTGTCCACTCGTAAAAGTGTACTAGCTTCCGAATCGTATGAAACATTTTTATTACAATCGTAGATAAATGTTGATAGTGAATCAATCGACATTTCATATTTTATGTTTTGATTTCTAATTTTTGGTGATTCGTTTTCATTTTCTGCAAATATTAATGGCGAGTTCTTCTTGGTGTGATTTGGAGATAGAATACAATCGTGTTTATTGTCGGAATGATTAGAAATAACGGGGAAAAAAAGATTAATTGGCTCACTTGGAATTATTGCCGATTGTGACGAATTTTTCTTGAATGGAGAAATTGCTGCTGGTTCGACTGCTGAAATTTCCTTTTCTGAAAGTGATATTTCTTCTGGTGATTTATAATTTTCGTTCAAAATTGATAGACAAGGCGGTTTTCCAGTATTCACCCAATACTGAATATTTAAAATTGAATTTCTCATTGGTAACCGTCGTTCATTGGTATTTTCCTCATTTTTATCAAATAATGGCTGCAATGTCTCCACATTTAATTCTGCCTCGTTGATTAACTGCCGAATTTAATACACATTTAGTTAAAAATTTATAAAATTTATAACTAAATGTTAAATTATATAAATAATAAATTAAAATTACGTAAAAATTATATTAGAAATTAAAATGCAATTAAAAGCAAAAATATGATATACTCACGTCCATTGAGATATTTCTCAAAGATTTTATCCCACGACTTTATATGAGCTTTTAATCATTTTTTTTCCACACATTCACTTCTATTACAGTTTAATTTATTCATTGATCTGTAATTAATGTTGATAATTTAATAATTGTTATTGACATCTTATTGATAATGAACGATATATTATGAAACGATTTATAAGTTCAAAAAAATGTATTAAAGCACATATTTTTTAAAATAATTATTTTTGGTTTCATATTTTCATAAAATTAACAAAAAGACAACAATAAATATAAAAAAATAGACTATAATTTAAATATATTTAAAAAACTATAATATCAAAAACAAATCCATTTCTAATGTTTATAACCTCAAAATAATTTTTAATGCCAACAAACCTTGTATAATTGTAATGAAAACAACTATTTAAATTATTTGTAGAGTACAGTGATTTTCTATTATTGTTGTTCAATCGATTTTATTTCAAAAATCATAACTATTTACTGTGTTTTTCTCTTTTTTAAATAACAAAATAAATCGAAGTAAGCGTAAACAAATCATTATAGTTCACAACTGTGAAGTTAGCTGATTGTGAGTTAAGCTTTATTCATACAGTCCTAACACGCTAAACAAGATTTAAAAATGCAGGCTGGGCAATAACATTCAAAAATTCGGCGGCAAAACAGAATATTTTTTTTATAATTAAAATTATCAATTATTTTCGATTATATTATTATCTTTATTTTTTATTTATTTGATTTGTAAAATTTGTGATAAATTTTACTAAATTAAATTTTTTGTAATATAGTATTAAAAAAAAACAATTCTATTCTTATTTTTTATCCGAAATGATAATAATATTCATAACGATAAATAATTATTGGAAAAAAATTTAATTTAAAAAGAAATATTTTTCTTTGATAATTGCCGAAATGATAAAATTGAATAGTTTAATAAAGTCAAAAATTTATTAAAATTTAATAGTAGTTTATTTTCAATATCAGTCGACGATAATTAAGAGAAAAATTTAATTTTTTATTTATTACTTATAAAATTTTTAGAATATATTTATAATATAATCGCAGATAGAAATAAAAAGATGATGGTCTTTTATTTTTTATGACATTTTTTCGATGAGAAGAGTGCGTTTTTTTTTTAATGTCTTTGATCATTCTTCAATATAATATTGTAAATTGAAAAAATATAATAAATGATGTTCTTTATTGAATTGACGCAAATATTTATCACAGAATCAAACAAGTTCTCCTCTGGTTTGCACGCAACCTGTAAAAAAGGAATTAAGAATTTAAAAATATATTTTTATTTACCTACTTTTCTTGAAAAATAATTATGAGAAAAAGAAATACAAAAAAACTGAAAAATCGTCCAAATCTGTAAGGTGAGGACTGAGAATGAATAAATTAGAAAATAATAAATTGAATAAAATAGATAAAATAATGAAATCGAAAAATAAATTATAATTAAAAATTGAAAAACAGAATGAGTTTGAATAAAGAAAATTTTACATACGTTTATTACTGCTTTTCCAGCCAATATATTCATCGGTCTTTTTATTTTCAGCAGTGAGCCAATCCATTAAAGGCTTAAAATAATCCAAGAGACCTGAGCTACTCATTTTCCGTTGACCTGTCAACACTTCCATAGCGTCCTGCCATGGTTTCGATGATCCCAATTTCAGCATTGCCCTAAAAAGATCATTTTCATTTATTTTATATCCCTTTTTGTATATACAATAATAAATTATTCTTACAAAATTTCGAGGCTTTGTACTCAATAATTAGATAATTAAAAAAATAACACAAATATTTTTATAAATATTATAATTCTTCTCAAAATATTATCGAATATTCCGAATAATATTGAATTAATTTCAATACAATTTTAAAAAAATTTCTCGAAAGGATTCAATTATTTAAACAAATTTGTAGTATCATTTTTCGAAGTAATTCAATTATTTTTAAAAATAATAATAAAATAAAATAATAAAATATTTAATAATAATAAAGTAATTTTAATAAACTTCAATAATGAAATTTTTAAATACAATTATTAACAGAAACGACTATTTTTAAAAGTTGCAAAAAACTCTTCGTAAAATTCCCTACTTTCACAATTTTCAAATAAAATTATTAACAAAAAACTTTTATTTTTAAAAAATTCAAAAAAATTCTTCATATAATTCAATTAATAATTAAAAAATTTTAATAAAATACTTCACAGGAATTCAATTATAGTTATAAATAATAATATTCTTCTCGAGAATTCAATTATTTTAAAGAATTTTAATAAAATTTTAAAGGTAAAAATTCTATTATTTTTGAAAAATTTTAATTTCAATTCTTTAGAAGAAAAAATACTTTGAAAATTTTTGAAAATTATTCAATTCTCTGTAGAAATTCAATAATTTTTGGAAAATTTTGATAAAATTCTTTATGAGAATTGAATTATTTTTATATACGTAATAAAATTCTTCTCCGGAATTGAATTATTTTCAATTCAATTTTAATATTTTAATTAAAGAAATTCTGAGAAGAATTTTTTTTCTAAAAATTTTAATAAAATTCAATAATCAAATATTAAATTTCAATTATTTACAAAAACGATTATTTTAAAACTTGAAAGAAATTTTTCATAAAATATAATTACTCTAAAAAATTTTAATTTTAATTCTTTAAAAAAGAAAAATTAATAAAAATTATTTTGAGAAATTTAATAATTTTGACAACAATTATTCAATTCTTTACAGTAATTTAATAACTTTTGGTCAATTTTGATAAAATTCTTTATGAGAATTGATTTATTTTGAATAAAATTTTAATTAAAATTCTTCGTAAAATTTCACTTATTATTAAAAATTTTAAGAAAATTCTTCTCAAGAATTCAATTATTGAAATAAGTAATAAAATTCTTGGCAAGAATTCATTGATTTACATAAATAATAAAATTCTTCGAAAGAATTCAATTATTTTCTAAAATTTTTAATAAAATTCAATAATCTAATATTTAATGTCAATTTTATGCCCGTATCTTAAATAAATTATTGCCAAAAAGATTATTTTAAAAACTTTAAAGAAATTCTTTATAAAATGCAATTACTTTTCAAATATTTTTAATTTTAATTGTTTAGAAGAAATAAAATTTAATAAAAATACTTGGAAAAATTTAATAATTTTGAAAATTATTTCATTCTTTACAGAAATTTAATAACTTGGGGTAATTTCGATAAAATCCTTTATGAATTATTTAAAAAATTTAATAAAATTCCTCGCAAGAATTCAATTCTTTTGAAATGTTTCAAGAAAATTCTCCAATTATTTTCAAATTTTTCGATACAATTCTTCACAAGAAGTCAATGATCTTCAATATATTTTTTAAAATTGAAAACATTTGAAAAGAAAAATTATTTTAAGTTTCTTTTGGAAAAAAGGAAAAATTGTATAATTTCTATCACGATTTTTAACGATAATATAATTTTTTTTAAAGAGTTAAAACAATTTGTATAATTTCTATTTTTTTAATAACGATTTTCAACGAAATATATTAAATTAATTTGATTAATTTAATTAAATTCTTAAAATAAATGAAAAAATTGCATAATTTCCACTTTGTAATTACAATTATTGTACAAAATGGTTTTTTTTAAATATTAAAAATATTTCTCGTGATTAAATTTTTATTTTTTTTTTATTTATTTTTTAAAGATAATGAGAAATAGAATTTATCATTCGATAATTAGATTTTTCATTGAAACATTTAACGATAAAATTAATAATTTATTCAACTTTTTTTTTTATTTTCTAATTAATTAATTTAAAAAAACTCACTTCATGCGATTTCCTGCCTTCTTGCTGTCCGTGATATCACACTCGTGAAGTGGTTTCGATTTCGGATCGTTGGGATCAAATTCCCCAGCTTCAATGCACAGGGCACGATGAAATTGAAATTGAACGACAAAACTGACATAATAACGCAAATATTCCACGTCCGAAATTATATGATATTTCGATGCAGCGTCAAAATCTTGCTCTGTTCTATCAACCGGTGGCTCTATTCCTTGATATTCCTCCGACAATTTCCACCTGAGAATTTTTGTTTATTATAAAAATAATAGAAAATTTAGGAAAAAACAAATAAACAGAAAAAAAATAGAAAGAACTCATAGAAAAAATCTTTTTTTCATACCAATTGCAATTGTACTGATCCGGAGTGACTTCACCTCTAAAGATATTCCATCTCCATAAATCCATAACATAAGCGAATGGAAGAAAGACAATTTTCTCCATTCCTTTCAAAAACAAATGATTTATCGAGGCTTTATCGTCGGCCGTATAATTTTCCAAGAGTTTAATTTTTTGCAAATGATCAGGCGTCGATACACTTAAACTCATAACATCGCCAATTGCCTCATGAAATCCTGGATTTGCACCCTCACGATAAATAACCGGTTGATCCTTGTATTGCAAATAATATTGAATGTGTCCCATTTCATGGTGTGCGGTTAATAGTGAATCGGAATTAATTCGTGTGCATTGTTTAATTCGAAAATCTTTACCATCATAAAAGTCCCATGCACTCGCGTGGCAAACAATTTCACGATCACTTGGTTTCGTTAAAATTGAATTCTTCCAAAATGTTTCTGGCATTGCGCTCATATTCATTGACACGAAACATGATTCGGCCAATTTAAACATTCGATTTGCATCATATTCTGTGGAAATAAATTAAAATTATTAAAATGTAATTAAATTAAATAAAAGTAAAAATTACCCTTTTTTTTAACTTTTAAACTTTTTTTTTATTCTTTTCAATACTTTATTAACTCGACACGATTAAATTAATTACCAGATAATTCTACACAAGAGACGTTAATAAAATTAATTCTCTAATTAATTATTGCATTGTTTCATTCGAAAATTAATAAATTCAGATTTTTTAAGTTTAACAATTTGGAAAATAAATTTTGATTCTGCTGGTAAAAATTGATTCGAAAAGAAACGTTCGTAAAATATATTTACTAAAATAAAAAAAGAATTTGAATTATTCACTGAATTTATTGGCTCAGAATTTCTAATAATTATTTTTATCGAAATGTATTTGTTTGTGATGTTCAAACTAATATGGAAAAAAATTAAAGTAACGAAAATTATATTTTCTTCTAATTAGAATTTTACAGCGTAGTTAATATAATAGAATTTAATAATTACAAACTTCACAAATTTAAAATAAAGTAAATTTGCAATAAATACCTAATTATATATTTTATAGAGTCTATTTTTGACGAATAATGTAAGTTTTCTAGTGTAGAATTTTTTTTAAGAATTTAATTGCATTGAATTGCTTTTTGATTAATTAAGTAAAAAAAATGTCTTACTTTGTGCAACGAGAGCTGGAGTGGCATCAGGCAACATTTTGCCTTTGTGTGGAATAGTAAAGTCGGCAATATTGTCCCAGGTTTGAGCCCACATGTTACCAAGAAGATGAGCAGGAATTGGTCCATCCTTGCTGACAATAGCATCTCCATATTTTTCTCTCAACATCCTTCGCACATAAGCATGAATTTGCAGATAAAGTGGTTTTACCTCCTCCCAAACAGCCTCTAAAAGAAAAATAATTGTATTCCAATAATATGTTCGCAGTTTATTGAAATTTTGGAAAATAAGTCAATTCCTTCGAAGAGTTTTCTTAAAACTTTCAGAAATAATTGAATTCTTTCGAATAACTTTATTATTTATTTAAATAATTGAATTCTTGCAAAGAATTCTATTATATATTGAAATAATTGAATTCTTGCAAAGAATTTTATTAGTTATTTAAATAATTGAATTCTTGTGAAGAATTTTATTAAAATTTTTAATAATAAGTGAATTTTTACGAAGAATTTTAATTAAAATACTTCCTCTATGAGGAAGTAATTGTATTAAAAATAAATAAATTTTTATAAAGAATTTGATCTAAATTTCCCAAAGTTATTAAATTACAGTATAAATTATTAAATTTCTCAAAATATTTATAGTAATTTTTTTTTTCTAAAGAAATAAAAATAAAAATTTTCAAAGTAATTAAATTTTCCGAAGAATTTTTTCCATGTTATAAAAATAATCGTTTTTGTTAATAATTGAAATTAAAAATTTAATTATTGAATTTTATTACGATTTTCAGAAAATAATAAAATTCTTCTCAGAATTTTGTTACAATTTTTGAAAATAATTTAATTCCTTCATAGAATTTTTTTAAAGTATTGTAAATAATAAATTGAATTCTTTCGAAGAATTTCTTTAATTTTTTAATTTTTAATTAATTTAATTTAATTTTTAATTAAAATATTAAAATTGTATTCAAACTAATTGAATTTTTGCAAAGAATTTTTATTTCTAAAAATAATTGAATTCTTTCGAAGAATGTTATTATTTAGGAAAATAATTGAATTTCTGCAAAGATTTTTATTATTTTTGAAAGTAAATTGAAATCTTGCGACGAATTTTATAATTTATGAAAATAATTGAATTTAGGCGAAGAATTTTAATGAAAATTGTATTGAAAATAATAATTCAATTCTCATAAAAAAATGTTATCAAAATTTTCCAAAATAATTAAATTTTTGCAAAGAATTAAATAATTTTCAAAATATTTACTAGATATTTAGTTACATTTTTTTTATAAATTATTTAAATTAAAATTTTTCAAAATAATAGAATTTTTGCAAAGAATTTTATTGAAATTTTCGAAAATAATTGAATTTTTCAAAAGAATTTTATTAAAATTTGTGGAAATAATTGAATTTTAGCCAAGAATGTTATTATTTATAAAAATAATTGAATTCTTGGAATGAATTTTATTAAAAATCTAGAAAATAATTGAATTTTATCCAGAAATTTAATAAAAATCGTATAGAAAATAATTCAATTCTTCGAAAGAATTTTATCAAAATTTTTCAAAATAATTGAATAATTTTCAAAATATAGTTTTAGTTTAGTTTAGTTTTTTTTTTAATATATATAAATTTTTAAAAGTATTTAGTTACATTTTTTTCTTATAAATAATTTTTTAAATTAAAAATTTTCAAAATAATAGAATTTTTGCAAAGCCATGAAATTCATTAAAATAATTCTATTCCACCTAAGAATTTTATTAATTGTTGAAAATAATTGAATTTTTAAAAAGAATTTAAAAATTTATGAAAATAATTGAATTTTATTAAAATCATTAAAAATAATTGAATTTCTGCCAAAAATTGTGTTATTTATAAAAATAATTGAATTCTTTTGTGAAATTGTATTACAATTGTATTGAAAATAATTGAATTCTTGCGTGTAGAGTTTTATTACAATTTTTTAAATAAGAATAATAATTGATTGTGTACTTAATAAGTGATTTTTTTTAATTTTGACTCTGAAATTATTCAAAAATTTATAAATAAAAATAAAAAAAAATTTGTTTCCCTTTCTTATTTTTTGTGTTAAAAAAAATATTTATTTACTTATAATAAATTAATTTTAATAACTTTATTAAATTTAAAAATTATTCTCAGTTTTACAGCTTTCTTTATTTTTAATGTTTAAAAATTAGTTTGAAAAATATTTTTAATTTTACAGCCTACTTTTATTTTTTATGTTTAAAAATCTATTTATTTAATTTAAAAAATTGAATATAGTTTTTTAAAGTGAAATAAAAGTAAATGTAAAATAATAATTATTTTTTCGAATATTCTAAGTATGTACGTAATCTATATATATACAACTATTTTTGTTATCTACAAATCGTTAATTTTGCACAAACAAAAACTATTCCAGTTGTTGTTAATTTTCCTTTACCTATATATGTAATAACTTTACAGATAAATTTTAAGCGACAAAATTTTCTAAAATCGTATTTCTTAAATTTACAATCCAAAAAAGTGACGAAACTGACAAAATTTCCTTATTTGAAGAAAACAGAAATCATCTCGTATTGTAATTATTTTTTTACCTGTTTATATTTAAACAAGTTTAGTTAGTATTAAGTAAGTAAATATGAAGTTAAATATTTATCTAAAGATAAAAAACGGTTCAACAAGCAAATGTTAAATATTTATTTAACGTCATAAAATAATTACGTTTGTTCAATTTAATAATTATTTCAAAAAATAAATATGTAAATAAAATTTATCTTTTGTGCAATTTTATAACTATTTCGAAAGATAAACAATTTTCTTCATATGAAAGAAAAATTTGCCTAATTGATTTGAATTATTTGAAAAATAACTCACCGACTTGTTCCTGGAAATTTTCGGCTTCATATTCATGTAACCATTCTGCAGACTTATCATCGAATCCATTCAATCTCGCCGCCTCGTTACCAAGTTCCACGTATCTTGGGAAAAATGGTTTCATTTTTTCAGCCGAAACTTTTCTCCATTCAATCCAAATGTGTTTAAGAACATCGGCATCGCGACTTGTTGCCAATAATTCAGTGATTTCTGGTTCAAGGGCCAAATCGCATTTTGTTGGATTTCTCAGTTCGCAAATCTTTGCCGTCGAATAAATCTTTGACATTTGACTCGTTATGTTTTCATATTCCTCGAAAAGCTAAAATAGTTATTCATTAATTATTCAGTGATAAAAATAGAAATAAAATTAGAAATAAAAATAGAAATAGAAATAAAATAGAAATAAAAATAAAAATAATAATAAAAATAGGATAATTAAAAATTAAAATTGAAATAAAAACTAAAATAAAAATAAAAGAAAAATAGAAATAAAACAATATGTAAAATGTAAGTGAAAAAATGAAAACAAGGAGAAAAATTACATTTTCCGGTAAAGCGGAAGTTCCTATGGTGCTGATCTTGGAAAATTGCCTCTTTAAGTCCTCGTCCTTTAAATTTTTCCATGGGAATTCTTTAACTTCTTTCCACAATTTCTTTTGATAATCGGCAGCTTGACTCGAGACTTTTATTTTCTCGGCTAAATTTGCATCTGTCAGATTACTGTCATAATTCCATGAAGCCGTTACTTCTTTATTGTTCCACGATCCAAGTTGAAGATTTACATCTTTTAAAAATTTTTTCGCCTTCTCCAATAATTCTTTTGATTCATTATCATTATTTGCCGCTGCAGTCTCGCCTACTGGTTCTTTAGTTTCTTGCGGAAATCCTGTTCCCACTGCTACAAGAACTGCCACTATCAGCAGACTGCAAAAAAAGCAATTGATTTCAATTTATCGATTAATTATTAATATTAGGTATTAATTTATTTACTATTCAGTTTTCCTTCATTTCAGCAAAACTATTTTTATTCTGAATATTCATAAAAATAATATCAATAAATATTTAAACATTTTTATATAAAATAAATATTTTTGAACTCAAAGCATATTTTTTTTGCTTATTTCTAAATTTTTATTCTTTATTTATTTTCCTTTTTTTATCTTTATTTATTTCAATTTTTGTTCATTCATTTTAGTTAATTTTAATTCATATTATTTGTTTCGAAATTTTTTTAATTTTCTTATTTCAAAACTAATAAGTTCCATTTTGCAGAAATAAATATGTATTTTAAAATTGAGTGACAATTACAAAATTAGATTTCAAATTACAATATAAAGAAAATTTTCTAAAGGACAAAGAGATTATTCATTATTTTGAAAATATTTTTCCAAACCAAATATTGACTTTAAATTTAATTGTACTTTTAACTTTAAAAATCCCAAACTTCGATGTTTATACTTCTATGTTTCTAGTTAAAAATATTAATTTCAAAATGGAATTCTATTTTTATATTTAAAAACATCAATTGTTATTGAAATAATATTTTTTATTAAAAAGTAATTGAAATCTAAAAAAAATCAACATTGAAAATTAACTAAAATTATTCGAAAAAGTAAATTTTTTCAAAATTTTGAAAAAACAGAATTAATTTTTAATTCACGGCCTTTGTGAAAAAAAGTCTATTAAACAATTAAACAAAGGAAATTGATAGTAAATTCTCTAAAAAAACATTTAAAAAAAACTTACGCTCGCAACATCTCGATTCTTTTTCAAAAAACAATCGAGTTTGATAAATTGAAATCGGAGAGCACAAAAAATAGAATAATCACAATTTCACAGCGGCGAAAAAAAGGAAAAATACTCTTCGTATAAGGTATTCAATTCCCACTGCCCACTACTACTAAAAAGTAAATGTGCCTTCAATGGCAAGCAGTTACTTTTATGCTACTTCCCCACTCTTTTGTGCTATAATATTCCTTCATGGACCTTGCTCTTCAGATTGTACCTGATAAAAAAAAGAATCAATATATAAATTAATCGTTATCTTAAAAATTATTAATTTTTTTTACATAATAGTGTAAATTACATAAATTTTTCTATTTCAAATATATAATATTTAGCAGATTCCATTACTGTCAGTCAGTCTTTATATAAACATAGAGTGCAATTTATCGATAGTAAAATATTACGCGAGTGTATCTAGTTAAAAAAAAATATCGCGATCGTATTTTATTTAATATATAGAAAAAATTACTATAATTAATAATAATATTAATAATAACAATAATTTGTACATTGTTGAAAAAATAATAAAATTTCTTTTTAAATTATAAAAATTTTTAAAAATATAAAATTATTAAATTAATATAATCAATATAATAATAATAATAATACATAGTTATTATTATTATGGTTCTTTTTAAACTGCGGAGATTTATCTCAATAAATAAATAAAATTAAAAATTAATAATAACTAGCAAAAACTGACGCGCGCGAGCGCGCGTGCATTTTTTTTTCAACGTTTTATTTTAAATAATTAAAACTTTATTTTTTCAGCGAATTTGAACCATTATGATGTCACAATTTTTTAGCAAATGCTGTGAACAAATTGTGACGTCATTATGGTTCAAATGCCATTAAAGAAATTATTTCATCTTCTATTAATTAATATATTTTTGCATTTTCTTTTTTTATATAAATAAATTAAAATTTTTATTTACTGTTCGCAGTTTATATTTTTTTTTTGTTTAATATTTTAATAATTTTATGTTTTAATATATATATAAATATATTTTTTCTATTAAAATAGCAATTCTTTAAAATGATTATTATTATTTTTAAGGGTATTTTAATTATTATTATGACGTTATAATGTTTTAAATAAATTTAAAAAATGGAAATGCTGGAAAGAATGAAAAATACATTTTTTTTAGAAATATAAAATTATTCAATTAACATCTTCTATCTTTATATCTTCTCTCTATATTAATATCTTCTTCTTCTTCTATCTTCTTTGATTTAGTTGTAATTTACTTTTTTGTTTCCTATCTTCTTTAATAATTTTATGTTTCAATATTTTTAATTTTAATTAAAATTAATATATTGAATTTCATTTAAATTCTTGCAAAAAATTTGAGAATCATTGAATTTCTTCAAAAAATGTCATTATTTATGAAAATAATTCAATTTTCGCTAAAAATCATTAAATCAATTTTGGAAACCCTAATTAAATTTTTCTGAAGAATTATTTTTTATTTTTTGTTTAATAATTGTGTTTCTTTAATAATTTTAATTGGATATTTTTAAAGTAATTTAAATTTATGAACAATTTTTTTCAAGTTTTTAAAACTAATTTTTAAATTTGTAAATTTAGTTGAAACATCTATTGTTTACATTTATCCCTTGTTTACAATTACCCCAAATGGCCCTAATTGTAAATTGATTGTTTTGTTGATTTTTGAATTTTATTTCGGAATAATTCAATTTTTTATTATGTATTTTTCATGATTTGAAGACTTTATATAGTCTTTAAAAGACTTGATAGTATTTAAATAGTTGAAATGAAAGGCGGTGCCTAAAGTATTTTTTTTAAGTTCATTATTTTTTTTTCTTTTTAGAAAATCTATTTTCTATAATATTGTGTTAAAAAAAACGTTAACATTTTATATTTTATTTGAACAGAAGATAACGATAAGTTTAATTCTTGCAAAAGAAAGCACTTATAAGTTAATTCTACACACAAACACACACAGAAATACGTTTATTTTTTACGTAAGTGCCAATAAATTAATTTCAATTTTTTATTTAAAATGAAATAATTTAATTTTGAATTAATTGTATTTTTGATATTTGAATAATTAATTATTATTTTGAACAATTACATTTTTCAATGATTTTAAAATAATTAAATTTTTATTAAAAACAGAATAATTTATTTTTGAATTAATTAAAATTGTTTGATTTATTTTTGAATAATTAATAATTGACTTTTGAATTATTTAAAATTCAAATATTGTAAAAAATTAATAAAATATTTAAAAAAAACAATTTATTTTTAACATAATAAAAAAGTAATTTATTAAAATACTAAATTCAAATAGATTTTGAATTGCAATTATTTTTAAAAATGAATAAATTTTTTGTGTAAAATCATTTTTTTAAAATTAATTAAAATTTGAAACAATTGAATTTTTTTTTTCATTTTTGAAAAATTAATTATTTCGAACAATTTTTTAAACATAAAAGAACCAGGAGCTATTATCACTCATAATAGCAATCAAAAAAAGCACACACTAAAGGGATCGCTCTTCCCAAAAAATTTAGACTCTAGATCCTGCACTGTATAAGTTAATAATTGAAGATTAATTAAATTTTTGAAAAATTAAATATTAAAAAATTAATTATTTTGAATAATTAATATTATTGAACAGTAATTTACGAAAACGACCAATGTAATAAAATTTAGAACGATATTTTTTATTGATTCAGGAAAATTGAATTTTTTAATTAAAATTAATAATCGTTGAAAATTGAAAATAATACAACTTTTATTGACAATTCGATATTTCAGTTTTTTTAGATTTTAAAAATGCATAAAATTTTCAATAATAATAATAAATCAAAATACAATAAATATTATCAATTATAATTATAAATAAAAAAAAATAATAATAATAATAATAAGATATACGAATAAAATTTGTTTTTAAGTTATTTTGAGATTTTTATTTAACAAAATAAAATGAAATAATATAAATGATTTAATTAAGAAGAAAATTTTAATTAATAATTAGAATTTACCAATCTACAGTTTTTTTTCCACTGAAAACGGTAACCTCTCGCCTGATACCAGATATTTTTCCACGATTTTTCAAACACAATAATTCTTGTCACAATTTAACGTTTTTTAAAAACACCCGCACTACCGCATAACATAACATCGGAAATGTCAAAACATCACGAAAAATATAAACAAACAAAAAAATCATGATAATAATTCGCAAATGATAACTAACAACTAACTTCATACTGCGAACGGACAGAATGAAAAACCACAGACTTTAATAAAGTTAATTCTAATGACGGAATTTGGAAAAAATATTCCGTAATAAAGGAAAATTCGCAACATTTTTTTGTTTACTATTACGTTTTATTTCCTGAATTGATATTGCATTATCATTTTTAAACTTCTTCAAATAGAATTAAAAATTTGTAACAGCAAAATTTTTTTGGCATCTTGATTTTCCGGTTTTATGAAATTACGTTTAATTACAAATAGATTATTAATTTTAAAATATGTAAATTGGATGACAAATATTAATTAATAAAATATAGGCAAAATTTTGAATTATAATAAAAAAAGCGTAAAGAAATTGCGATTTTGAAATGAAATAGTTAAATAGAAAAGAAAATAAACAAATTTGGAAATATGATAGAGAAAATTAATTTTAACTTTAATTGGAAATTATTTATTTATATTTTTTAATAAATAAATAAGTTTCTAAAAAAAAAACTTGAAATTTTGTTTTCAAAAAATTCGAAAAAATTGTAATTGAGAAAAAATAGTGCAAATAATTTTCTTTTTTCCAAAAATAAAATAGAATTTTGTAAAAAAATTGTCATTAGAAATAGAAATTGTGCAAAAATTGTTCTATTTATTTCCTAACATTTTCAATAATTTTTCATTATAAATGTTTCCAATTTTAAAAAATATTTTGAAGATCATTGAATTCTTGTGAAGAATTTTGTCAAAAAATTTGAAAATAATTGAATTCCGTCGAAGAATTCACTTAAAATTTTTAAAAATAATTGAATTTTACTAAACTTTATATTAAAAATAATTGAATTTTCGCGAAGAATTTTAATTAAAATTGTATTGAAAATAATTTAATTCTCATAAAGAATTTTATTAAAGTTTTACAAAATTATTGAATTTCTTTAGAGAATTGAATAATTTCTAAAATTATTCAGTTTTTTTCTTCTAAAGAATTCAAGTTAAAATTTTTCAAAAATAATAGAATTTTATTAAAATTCTGTGAAATAATTGAATTCTTCCGAAGAACTTTATTATTTATAAATACAATTGAATTCTTGCGAAGATTTTTATTAAAATTTTTGAGACGAATTTTAATTAAAATTGTTTTGAAAATAATTCTCATAAAGAATTTTATCAAAATTTAAAAGAATTATTGAATTTCTGCATAGAATTGAATAATTTTCAAAATTAGTCAATTTTTCAAAGTATTTTATCCAATTTTTTTCTTCTAAAGAATTTAAGTTAAAATTTTTCAAAAATAATAGAATTTTTGACTAGAATTTTATGAAAATTCAGTAAAATAATTGAATTCTCGTGAAGAATTCTATTATTATTTATGACTACCTATAATTGAATTCGTATGAAGAATTTTATTACAATTTTTTTTTTAATAATGGAATTTAATACCTAATTTCAATTGATAAAAAAAAAGTTTGCATAATTTTCTTACAAAATGCTAATTTGTTATTTTTTTTTTTGCGAGAAAAGAAAGAAAAAACATATTTTAAATATATAATTTAATTTTAGTTTACTTTAATTTTATTTCATTGAATTTGACTGTAATTCTCTGAAGAGAAAAAAAAGAAGAATTATTTTCCTATATATTTGAAACGGAAAAAAATCATGTACCTACTGCTAATAATTCTGAACTATTTGAAATTAAAAAAAAAAGAAAAAAAATGGGAAATAATTATAATTAGTCATTTTTTATGTATTTCAGACCTTTTAAGAAGCTCGGTTGGAGAGCAGTTTATAATAAGACGAATGAGAGCGAGAGATGATTCGCCGTCTCCTACTCCTTCAGGGCGAGTAAATTTGGAACCACGAGCACGTAATAAACTCCAAATATGGTCCTTCTTATTGCCAATTCG